CCACCTTCTCTTGTTTTTTGAAATGATTTGAGCATCAGTTTTGTTGTTGTACGTTTACATGTACTTACAGATGGTATAAGACGATATATATACCACATTCTAGGTGCGCTTGTCTATTAAACTGAAGAGTTGATTTGGCATTTTTGAACTAGTATAATTAGACTCATGGAGTTGTAATAATCTGTGAAAATATTTTTGGTGTTTTTCTGTCTGGTTTGAGAATCACACGGGCCAGGAAAAAGTAAAGGTAGGCTAAAACTACATTACTTTTCTTCTCTTTGATTCAAATATCTCTTATAACCACTGCATTTTTTCTTTTCTTGTCTGGCTTTCAGGTATATCATTCGAGCTCGGTCTGAAAATGCTAAATTTACTACTTGTTGCTTTTAGTAGGCTCCGAGGTATGAAAGACCACCACAGGACTCTGTTGTGTACATAACACATTGTTTTTTGCTGGCCCCGAGGTATGAAAGATAAGCATTTAGGTGATTCTTGTTGGCCCCAACATTGTTTTAAATATGATTTCTTCTGTTCAATGGCTTATCATGCATTACATTGAGCACATCCTTTATAAATTTGATAACTAACTCAGGTATCTAATTTTTTTTTTCGGGATCTTTTTTGACTGCTATGATTACAAGTTTGATGTCTCAAAGGAAATTGCTGCAGAAAAGAAAAAGAGTTATCCAAAGAAGATCTACCTGGATTCCGTTAGGTATGGTCTTTTTTGTTTTGGTTCTTCCTTTTTCCATGGGTCTTTCTAGGACATCACCTTTTTTTTTGTTAACCTTTTGATAGGATGTATCTACCGACGTTCATTAAAACTCGCTAGTTATGCTGTGCAGGTTAACAACTTCAGTGTTTTGAGCTCTCTCTCTCTCTCTCTCTCTCAGGATTTTAAATGCAATGAAACTATTTCTTCATGACTCTCAGGTTGTTGGAAAGTATGAGCGTTATGGAGAATGAGATATGCTGTCGTGCCAGTGAAATCTAAGTAATACTCTTTATATTTTGTACTTTTTACTCCTGAAGTATTTTCTGAAATATGAGGTTCTCACAGTGATATTTTGGCATATTGTAGTTTTGCAATGAGTGTTATGTTCCAGAGGACAAATTGGAGACTTACAAGATATTATGGAGATGGTTGTTATATAGGAATATGGAGTGGATTTCTTATTCCAGCATCAAGTGTTTCGAGCTATGAATCTTCTGTCACAATATAAGTATTACGGTTCTGACCCTTCTTAAGTTTTCCTTTTCCAATTTTACTTTCACTTTTTCAACTTCTGACAACACTTTCTTATTTATGATTTTGATAGGTAGCAGAAGTTCTCTATTTGTGATGATCGCATCATGCACTTGCTTCCAACTATTTGCAAATTTTTAAATTTATATGGTTATGTAGTTGCACATACAAATGCTGAATTTAAAATGCTTTTGCAGGTTGGATTAATTTCTTAGGCTTTATAGAATTTTCAGTTGCAGACTAATGGGATCGGAGCACCATTACATGATAATTTCTTCGTCAGAATTATCATCAGAACATCGACCACCTTTAACAGCAACCAAGGTTACTTACGTCTCAAGGAAAATGTCTGTTTTTTCTGTCTCGTTTATTCCTTCTCAATATCATATGATAATTTTTTTTCATGACTTTTGTGCAGAAAAATGGCCACCATGTAAGTGAAGTGACTACGATCAACGTACTACATCGTTTTTTATATTACTTCTTTTTGGTCGTGTAATTACAGGTTCATTTTTACATTTAGTTTTATTTTTTGCAGGATATATATCATTACACACTACGACAAAAGTTTACGAGACCCCTGACAGCAGACCTAGGAGACCTCTAACCGATCGTCACCATGTCCGTTGTTTTCTAGCAAACGAGATTTTGATCGTCTTCTTCATGTGAATTGTTCAGCCATTGAGGTTAACAACATTTCCTTTACATTTGTCTGTTTTCTCTAAAACTGTGGAAAATAATTCTGAAATAAAATTAATTTGCAGAATCAAGACATTAATAATGATCATATGACTTATTGGCTGTCTAATACTTCTACGTTATTGTTCTTGCTCGCAAAAAGTCTGAAATCTTCTGGGACAGCTGGTGCCACCCCAGTTCGTAAGGCACAACCGCAACCTCTCTATTCGGGTGGTTGACAATAGTATTCAATTTTTTTTTGTTTTTTTTTTCCGATTTACAAAGTAGATAAATATGAAATAATTTTTTTTACAGGTATTAGGTCACCTTCTTCGACAAGCCTAGCCAGCTGCAGCAGCCACTGAATGGCCTATTTCCATTAAGTTTGTTATTTCCTTACATTGAGTTATAACTCATGTAGCGATATATCTTTGCATCTTATGATACACAACAAACTTTACTGGATTAATCGAGGAAACAAAAAGAAAGATCTCCTTTCGCAGATCTACTTGCTTTTGGGAAGGTTACATTTTTCCTTTGATTCTATGATAACCAGTATTTGCCCTTTAAAATTGAAGAAAAATAAATCATCTTATTTTTTGTAACATAATAGACTTATTTTGGGAATATTTCTCTTGTTTAGGTGAAGAACAGGTTAGGCGGCGTAATGCGTCTAATATCCTCTGGGGGGGACTCCATTAAGCAGCGAGGTGGAAGAATTCCTAAGGGTTACTTCCTGGGTTTTTTTTAGTACATGGCTATGGTAAATAAATAAATAACAGAACAATTTTTTTTTTGTGAGATTATTTTTTTATGCTTGCAGGGCTGACAGAGAGTTGTGTATTATCCACTCTTGATTTTCTGGTGAACTGTAGACTCAGCATTTGTTTAAACTGAGATCCGTTTGGAACATGATCGGGTATAGCCTATGACCCATTTGGAGATCCACCTTGTGGTGAAGCATTGCTTCGTGGGAAAACAGAATTTGCAGGATACTAACTTCTTTTATTTATTTTTTTGTAATATATAGGTGTCCTTTTTTCTACTAAATATTTTTCCCTGTAACATATATTTGTTCTTGTTTCAGTGTCTCATCATCGGACTTTTTCAGATATGGTGATTCCAGCTTGGGGTCTGCATGCAGAAAGAGCTATGGATACCATCATAGTGTTCAATCCTTAACAATTGCAGTTCATAGAGTTCACTTGAAATTGTTTCAGAAGCCTGAACGTGTGGGTAGAAGTCACCAGTTCTAGAATCAAGTTCTGGAAAGTTCTGAGTGTGCAGCGTACAGAATATTATATACTCGAAGTGTGTCCACTGAAGTAAGTATATTATATACTCTTTGTTTCTCCGGTTAGGTAATAACATATGTCGCAAGTATTTAACAATTTCCATTTTTTTATTACAGGTCATATCGAACATGAGGGAACATGAGGGTGCTACTGACTAGTTTCTTTTGGATGACAATTCCAGGTAACGACCCATTTATTTTCTATGTTCATAAAGAACCCCCCCAAATTTTATAATAAAAAAGAAAAATGAAAAAAAAATGTGAAGTATAATGCGATTTTTTTTGAACACATGTGAAACAACATACTATTCTCAATGGATGAACTATCGAGTTCACTCAGAGTGAAGGACTTGTATAATAATTTTACTTTTTGTGTACTTGTAATTGTATATTGATATCATGGCCAGTTTTAAAATTTTCATGTAATTTAGATATCTCACGGAGAAATACTATCCATTACGACCAAAGTTGGCAGAATCAAAATTTTACTCATCAAGGTATGTCAAATGTTAGTAGTTTTCTGAGAGTCGGTGTAATATGAAGTTTTAATGATTTCTTGTATTTTTATGTTGATTACATGGTGGCTAAATCTAAACCCCGTGTTATTTCAACTTGTAACAAAACTCCCGGTGATAGCAAAAATCCTTCTATGATGCATTTTTTTTGCACATGATCCTTATGGTGAGTTTTTGTCATGTATATCAGGGTTTTTCAAATGTAAGTACTTGATGAGTATTGAATGATAATTCTTTTTATATTTGTTCTTTTTACTCCTAATGTATTTTCTGAAAGATGAGATTCTGACCATGATGTTTTGGCTTTGTAGTTTGTAAAGAATATGCTGTTCCTGAGGACAAATTGGAGGATTACAATGAAGTTACTGCACAAGATTTTGTTTTGTTCCCAGGTGAAATCCATGCATGTTTTTTTAGCACAATTTATTTCTTTATAGGCATCTTTACGAGAAAGAGGTTCTGCATTTAATTTATATGAAGATGATGAATGTATAGGAATATGGAGAGACAAGACACTAAGAGAACATGATGTGATGCTGAGCAGTGTACTGATTGATTTGACTCATGGGAGGTATATTCCTCTTCAAAGGTTAGTATCCATATTTTATTGAACTTCTCTCCAGCGTCCTTGAGCATAGGTTGGCGATTATGGGAGTTAGCCAACAAATGTTGAGGTGGTCTTCGTCGAAGAGTAATAAAAAGCCAACAAATGTTGAGGTTGATCATGGGACCGTGGTAGAAAACCACTTATGGCTCCTTGCTCAGTTTTATGGAGCTTTTGCCAGCACTAGTCAACTTCAGGTTTCTCGGCTACTTGTATTTTTCATTTTCATTATTTTTTTGTGTGACTACTTTCTTTTTATTTTTATCAACAATTTATGTTTCCTATGTGTTACGTAAGGCAGATTGGACCTAGCAGGTAAGAATTTATTTTCTTAAAATTTTGCACCTTTTTCTTGTTTCTTAAAGAACTCTGTTATCCATTGTAGGTGAATGTTTTGGTACACAAGTATGAGAACTTCAATGATTAAGAAGATTTGAAGGTTGTTCTTGGTACACAAGATCAGGTGACATGTTTTAGTTTGGTTACACTTTCAGCATTTAAATACAACTAAATCTCCTGTCTATTTGCTCATGACACTCAGGTTGATGGAAAGTATTGGGAGTTATGGTGAACGAAACATGCTATCGTGCCCATGAAATCTAAGTAATACTCTTTATATTCTATATTATTTTCTGAATGATGAGGTGCTCACAATCATATTTTGGCTTTATAGTTCTGTAATTAGTATTCTGTTACAGAAGACAAATTGGAGAATTGCAAGATATTTTGTGTTCCCAGGTGAAATCTATGCATGTTCTTAGAACGTAACATCTTTTTTGAAGTGTTCTGCATTTTACTTTTTATGGAGATGTTGATTATATAGGAATATGGAGTGGATCTTTTTATGAAGTGCATTTTACTTTTTGTGAAGTGCTTCAAGGTATGAATCCTGTGTTACAATATAAGTGTTACGGTTCTGACCCTTGTTGAGTTTTCCTTTTCCAATTTCACTCTCACTTTTGAAACCTCTGACAACACTTTCTCATTTATGACTCTGACAGTTAGAAGAATGTGTGGGTAGAAGTCGCCAGTTCTAGAATCAAGTTCTGCAAAGTTCTATATTTGGATTTTGCTTCTTCTCCCTAAAAGTTTTTATTTTGTTTTATGGTTCATACGTGCCCCTCTTCGAATACTTGCTATTTTTGGTTGTAATATATTCTTGTTCTTTTTTCAGTGTCTCATCGTGGGACTTCGACAAATTTGGTGATTCCGGTTTCAGGTCTGCGTACTCTTTACGTTTTCCTTTCCCAATTTCACCTTCACTTCTGACAGCACTTGTTTTGTTTAGGATTTTGATTGTAAGCAGAATTTCTTTGTTCGAGTTTACTCCGGAAATAATTGTTCGAGTTTTCAATTGTTTGGTAAATTTTTAAATTCCTATGTAGTGGAAATCTGTTTAGATGTTATTAAATATTGACTTTCTTGTGAAAAACTCTTCCTGTCTTTTTCGTTTGTATTATGATCACTCTCTCACTCTCTTCTCTTTTGTTGGTGCTGTCAAGCAAACGAAGAGGTAAATACTGTATATTTTCTTTCGTGCTTATTATGTTCTTTTACTTTCAATACTTTCTCGCGTTGACAAAATATTCTTGGAATTTCAGAATTCAGGTTCAGCTTGGGATGCTTCAGAGTGAGCTTTCTCCCTCCTGAAGTGCCGTTTTTCGTAAAGATGTTTTTATTAGTATTTGGAAAATAAATCTCATTTCAAAACGTTTTCAAGAAGCTGTATATGTATATTAGCATCTTGTTTTAACTTCTTATTATTACTTCTGTAATTTTCCCAATTACTTGAACTTACCGGTTTTACTTTTTCCTACAGGTTATACATCAGAACACAGAATATCGTATAATGAGATTATCAACGATTTGTGTCATATATTTTTTATGTTCATGACTGCATGGTTGATAATATTACAAGGATGTGAATTTTTTTTTTGCTGCAGGTTACATTGCCAGTGATTGCCGAGCATGCAGTTTAGGATGCAACTTTAAATTTTGAGGTTGTTTTTGAATTTTATTCATATCAGGCTCTTTATATTTGTACTTTTTATTGCAGAAGTATTGCCTGAAAGAGGAGGTTCTCACCGTATAATATTTTTTTTCGACTTGTGTGCAGATATTGAAAAATGGCCATCATACAAGTGAAGTTTCTGCAATCAATCAACCTACTAGTTTTGCAATGAGTGTTATATTCCATTTCTGATGACCACATCATTCACTTGCTTCCCAAGACTCGATTGCGCAAGTTTATACTCCAAAAGGCTGAATATGTCTCTTGAATCAATTATTTGCCAATTTTTAAATTCTGTGTCTATGTTGCTGCACATATAAATGCTAAACCTTAAATACTTTTGCAAGCTGGAGAAACGTCGGAGGCTTATAAGAATTTTTAGTTGAAGACTTATGGGATCAAAGCACAAGTACATGCGACACTGAGAAGGAAAAAGCCAAAAAAAAACGCCCTTCCAGTTTGACCCTATTATTTTATCTTTCATCTTATCACATGCATACTTTTTTTTTTGAAACATCACATGCATACTTACTATCTCGTGAAAATCTATTTTCGAAATTTTAAATTTCTATGGTTATGTAGTTGCGCATGCAAATGCTAAATTTAAAATGCTTTTGCAGGTTGGAGTAATTCCTTAGGCTTATATTCTGCATTTTACTTTTTATGGAGATGGCTGTTATATAGGAATGTGGAGTGGATTTCTGATTCCAGCATCAAGTGTTTCGAGCTATGAATCCTTTGTCACAATATAAGTATCACGGTTCTGACCCTTCTAAAGATTTCCTTTTCCAATATTAATTTCACTTTTGCAACTTCTGACAACACTTTCTTATTTATGATTTTGGTAGGTAGCAGAAGTTCTCTGTTTGTGATGATCGCATCATGCACTTGCTTCCAACATCTTACTAAGACATGATTGCGCGAGTGTACTCCAAAAAAGCTGAACTTGCCTCTTAAGCAACTATTTGCAAATTTTTAAATTTATATGGTTATGTAGTTGCACATACAAATGCTGAATTTAAAATGCTTTTGCAGGTTGGATTAATTTCTTAGGCTTTATAAAATTTTCAGTTGCAGACTAATGGGATCGGAGCACCAGTACATATCATTAGAACATCGACCACCTTTAACAGCAACCAAGGTTAATTACGGCTCAAGGAAAATGTCTGTTTTTTCTGTCTCGTTTATTCCTTCTCAATATCATATGATAATTTTTTTTCATGACTTTTGTGCAGAAAAATGGCCACCATGTAAGTGAAGTGACTGCGATCAACGTACTACATCGTTTTTTATATTACTTCTTTTTGGTAGTGTAATTACAGGTTCATTTGTACATTTATTTTTATTTTTTGCAGGATATATATCATTACACACTACGACAAAAGTTTACGAGACCCCTGACAGCAGACCTAGGAGACCTCCAACCGATCGTCACCATGTCAGTTGTTTTCTAGAAAACGAGATTTTCATCATCTTCTTCATGTGAATTGTTCAGCCATTGAGATTAATTTCCTTTACATTTGTCTGTTTCTCTAAAACTGTGGAAAGTAATTCTGAAATAAAATTAATTTGCAGAATCAAGACATCAATAATGATCATATGACTTATTGGCTGTCTAATACTTCTACGTTATTGTTTTTGCTCGAAAAAAGTCTGAAATCTTCTGGGACGGCTGGTGCCACCCCAGTTCGTAAGGCACAACCGCAACCTCTCTATTCGGGTGGTTGACAATAGTATTCAATTTTATTTGTTTTTTTTTTCCGATTTACGAAGTAGATAAATATGAAATAATTTTTTTTACAGGTATTTAGGTCACCTTCTTCGACAAGCCTAGCCAGCTGCAGCAGCCATTGATAAGGTGCGACAAGTCGAAGCGACATATCCAGCTCTGCTTTTCAAGCAGCAGCTTAATGCTTATGTTGAGAAATTATATGTAACTATTCGAGATAACTTGAAGGATTTGGGAGCACTTCTTGCTTTACGTATTCAGGTATGTTGATTGATAAAATATTTATGTTTTATTAAATATTATGTGAGCAATGCCTTCACGATTTATTATACTTTAATGATTTCAGACTCCAAGAACCTCCAAAGGGAGTGTGTTGAGGTCTGGTCGATCTTTCGGCAAACATTCTCAAACAAATCATTGATTGCCTCAAATCATTTGTTTATCAGGTGACGTTAGCTGGATTTTTTTCTTCTGATAAGCTCTCTTTCTGTGTGTGTGCCCATGTGCGTGAATGTGTGTGTCTATATATTCTAGTGAAGCTGTTCAGGTGACATTAGCTGGATTCTTTCTGATAAGCTCTCTTTCTGTGTGTGTGCCCATCTCTTTCTATGTGTGTGCCCATGTGCGTGATTGTGTGTTTCTATATATTCTGATGGAGCTGCTGTGATGATTGTTGATAATTTGTGGAGCTGATAATTTGGGCATTTAGAAACCCTCCCGTATCTTGATGTGGCGAACCCGGATGGCTGCGATTTTGGGGTAATTTATATTTCCCCAATCGCATGCAACCGGTGATTCTGCAGCCATGACGGGGTGGAATGTTTCTTTGCCAACTTGAATTAATTATTGACTTTCTTGTGAAAAACTCTTCCTATCTTTCTTGTTTGTATGATCACTCTCTTCTCTTTGGTTTTTTATGCGACTAAATGTTCTATGGTATTGTTAATTATTCATGAATTGTCTATTTATTTATTTGGAAGAGGAGCTTCAGCTTCAGGTCGGGGCAAACAAAGGCACAACATTGAAGGAAATAGAATTGCAAAAATAACAGCTGAGCAAAAATCACTTAATGCAGGTGAGCAAAAATCCGTTAAAATTGCGTGAAAAAATAATTTTCTTTATGTACTTGCTTATTGTTGCATCCTTTTATGCGTCATTGCAGACCTTAGTGAGCTCTCTGGAAACGAAATTACACTTAGCCAGGGGAGTTTGAAGCAAGCAGTGTAGAAGAAAAAAAATCCGACATGGAATCTGAGAACAAAATTCTTCGGCAGCAAACCTCGTTAACTGCCTCGAAGTTAGAATCAGAACATCCATTAGCAACAAGGGTTAATTACGTCTCAAGAAAGTTTGCTGTAGTTCTGTCTCCTTTATTCCTTCTCATTATCATATGATATTTTTCAAAATCTACAATCAATGCTGAGTTTTGAAATTAACTATTCTCATTTCTTGCAGCATCAAGTTTTTCAAGGTAGGAACCGTTGTCTGAGTTTTCCTTTCCCAAATATACTTTTACATCTGCACCTTTTGACTAAACTTTCAGGATGTTTATAGTTGGCAGAAGTTGTCTATTTCTGATGACCACGTCATTCACTTGCTTCCGACATCTTCCCAAGACTCGATTGTGCAAGTTTATACTCCAAAAGGCTGAATCTGTCTATTGAATCAATTGTCTGTAAATTTTTAAATTCCTGTGTCTATGTTGTTGCACGTATAAATGCTAAACCATGAATATTTTTGCAGGCTGGAGAAACATCGGAGGCTTATAAGAATTTTCAGTCGAAGACTTATGGGATTAAAGCACAAGTACATGCGAAACTGGGAAGGAGAAGGCCAAAAAAATAACGCTCTTCCAGTTTGACCCTATTATTTTATCTTTTCATCTTATAACATGCACACTTACTACCTCGTGAAAATCTAATTGTACATTTTTAAAATTTCTACGGTTATGTAGTTGCACATACAAATGCTAAATTTAAAATGCTTTTGCAGGTTGGAGTAATTCCTTAGGCTTTTAAGAATTTTCAGTTGCAGACTTATGGGATCAAAGCACTAGACTTGCAGCATCAAGTTTTTCAAGGTAGTTTTCCTTTCCCAAATATACTTTTACTTCCGAAACTTTTGAGTAAACTTTCAGGATGTTGATAGTGAGCAGAAATTGTCTATTTCTGAGGACCACATCATTCACTTGCTTCCGACAACTTTCCAAGACTTGATTATGCAAGTTTATACTCCAAATGGCTGAATCTGTCTCTTGAATCAATTGTTTGTAAATTTTTAAATTCTTGTGTCTATGTTGCTGCACATGTAAATGCTAAACCTTGAATACTTTTGCAGGCTGGAGAACCATCAGAGGCTTATAAGAATTTTCAGTTGAAGACTTATGGGATCAAAGCACAAGGACACGCGACACTGAGAAGGAAAAAGCCAAAAAAATAACGCTCTTCCAGTTTGACCCTATTATTTTATCTTTCATCTTATCACATGCACACTTACTATCTCGTGAAAATCTATTTTCAAAATTTTAAATTTCTATGTTTATGTAGTTGCCCATGCAAATGGTAAATTTAAAATGCTTTTGCAGGTTGGTGTAATTTCTTAGGCTTGTTAGAATTTTCAGTTGCAGACTTATGGGATCAAAAAACAGTAGACATGCGGCACTGGAGAGGAAAAAACAAAAAGTACTATGGTATCCCAGTTTGCCCCTATTATTTCGTTTTTTCATCTTATAACACGGGCATTTACAATCTTGTGGAAATGTGAATAAATGTTTTACCAATATAATATTGTAGATGCCTTAGTGAGTGCGAAGAATTGTCTCCGGGTAGAATCTCACATGCAGGATCGTCAATGTTGGAAGGTCTGTGATCTCTCTTATTTGTGTCTTTAATCACTGTTTACCGCACTACTTAGAGGTTTTTCTTTAATGTTGTAAGTAGATGACGCTATCATTAAGACCATTGCGACAACTCCAGATCAAGAATTAAAGGGATCTAGGGATTTGATGCTTCGAGTTCGCCGGAGAGATTCATATCAGGTTTGATAAATTTTAATTACTCGATGATTCTTGAACGGTACTACCCTTACTCTTTGTATTTTTCAATTTTACTCTAAAATTATTTTCTGAAAGATGAGGTGCTGACTATAATATTTTGTCTTGACAGTTTTGTAATGAATATGCTGTTCAGAGGAAAAATTGGACAAGTACAAGGAAGTCGCTGCACAAGATTGACTGTGTAAGTACCCCATGTACCCTATGCATGTTCTTGGAAAAAAATGTCTTTTTGGGCATCTTCGTGTGACATTAGCTGGAAAGCAAAAAACTTATGTTCAGACATTAGCTTATAAGGTGACATTAGCTGGATTTTTTTCTTTCTGTGTGTGTGCCCATGTGCGTGAATGTGTTTGTCTATATATTCTAGTGGAGCTGTTCAGGTGACATTAGCTGGATTTTTCTGATAAGCTCCTCTTTCTGTGTGTGCCCACTCTTTCTATGTGTGTGTCCATGTGCGTGGTTGTGTGTGTCTATATATTCTGATGGACCTGCTGTGATGATTGTTGATAATTTGTGGATCTGATAATTTGGGCATTTAGAAACCCTCCCTTATCATGATGTGGCGAACCCGGATGGGCTGCGATTTTGGGGTAATTTATATTTCCTCAATCGCATGCAACCGGTGATTCTGCAACCATGACGGGGTGGAATGTTTCTTTGCCAACTTGAACGATTGAGCAACCCTCTCCTTATGTTATGCGTTTTTGCTTCTCGTTTATGTGAGGTTTTTTGAAAGAGATCGACATCAATCCGATTAATCTCTTGAAACTTGAATTGTCAGTTGAAAAATAATTTCTTGGAATATAATTTCTTGCGACGTGTTTATTAGAGATTGGATATACCTCTTGAAGTCGAATTTCTCTCCTCATTATTGGATTTCTTATTGACGTTATTATCCGCGTATCTCATTTTCTTGAGTTGCCTTGTTTGCTCGATTTTTGGATTGTAAGGAAGTGCCTCATTCTTATTGACGCTATCAGATTTCTTGAGAGCTTATGGATTCAGATCACCAACTATATACTGTTGGAAACTCGGATTTTCAGGAGCTCGGTCTTCTTTATGTGATTCGTAGAAGATGGATTTCTCAAAAGAACTCGTGTTTATCTAATGAGCTCGATATTTATTGGATTTCTTGGCCTGGTATTTTTCGGACTTCTTGGACTTGTTGTAGTTGATCATATTTTGGACTTCTTATTGACGTTATTATCCGTAATCTCATTTTCTTGAGTTGCCTTGTTTGCTCGATTTTTGGATCGTAAGGAACTGTTCTCAATCTTATTGACCTTATTGGATTTCTCGAGAGCTTATGGATTCAGAACACCAACTATCTATTCTCGTAATTAGCTCGGATTTATAGGAGCTCGGTCTTCTTTATGTGATTCGTAGAAGAGGGATTTCTCAAAAGAGCTCATGTTTATTGAATGAGCTCGATATTTATTGGATTTCCTCGGGCCTCGTATTTATCGAACTTCTTGGACTTGTTGCAGTTGATCATATTTTGGATTTCTTATTGACGTTATTATCGGTAATCTCATTTTCTTGAGTTGCCTTGTTTGCTCGATTTTTTGATCGTAAGGAACTGTTCTCATTCTTATTGACCCTATTGGATTTCTCGAGAGCTTGTGGATTCAGAACACCAACTATCTATTCTCGTAAGCTCGGATTTATAGGAGCTCGGTCTTCTTTATGTGATTTGTAGAAGATGGATTTCTCAAAAGAACTTATGTTTATCGAATGAGCTCGATATTTATTGGATTTCTTGGGCCTGGTATTTATCAGACTTCTTGGACTTGTTGTAGTTGATCATATTTTATTGAACTTCTCTCCAGCTTCCTTGAGCATAAGTTGGCGATTATGGGAGTTAACGTAAATCACGCAAAAGATTCAATGCTTGTGTATCTCTGGTTTAGATGCCTGTGGCCTAAGTTTCAATATGAATTGCAGGGTCCTTCATTAATTGGTAAAGTTCTTTTCTTAACGGTATGAACCATCTGCCCCATCATAGGGTTCTGACCTATGTTAGAGTTTTTTTACTACGCTTTCAGGATTTTAAATACAATGAAACTATTTCTGCATGACTCTCCGGTTGATGGAAAGCATGAGCGTTATGGAGAATGAGATATGCTATCGTGCCAGTGAAATCTAAGTAATACTCTTTATATTTTGTACTTTTTACTCCTGATTTTTTTCTGAAATATGAGGTGCTCACAGTGATATTTTGGCATATTGTAGTTTTGCAATGAACGTTATGTTCCAGAGGACAAATTGGAGACTTCCAAGATATTATGTGTTCTCAGGTGAATCTATGCATTTTCTTAGAAAATAATTTGTGTTTTGAATAAAGGTTCTGCATTTTACTTTTTTTATGGAGATGTTGGTTATATAGGAATATGGAGTGGATTTCTTATTCCAGCATCAAGTGTTTCGAGCTATGAATCCTCTGTCACAATATAAGTATTACGGTTCTGACCCTTCTAAAGCTTTCCTTTTCCAATTTTACTTTCACTTTTGCAACTTCTGACAACACTTTCTTATTTATGATTTTGATAGGTAGCAGAAGTTCTCTATTTGTGATGATCGCATCATGCACTTGCTTCCAACATCTTACTAAGACATGATTCGGCGAGTGTACTCCAAAAAGGCTGAACTTGCCTCTTAAGCAACTATTTGCAAATTTTTAAATTTATATGGCTATGTAGTTGCACATACAAATGCTGAATTTAAAATGCTTTTGCAGGTTGGATTAATTTCTTAGGCTTTTTAGAATTTTCAGTTGCAGACTAATGGGATCGGAGGACCATTACATGATAATTTCTTCGTCAGAATTATCATCAGAACATTGACCACCTTTAACAGCAACCAACGTTACTTACGTCTCAAGGAAAATGTCTGTTTTTTCTGTCTCGTTTATTCCTTCTCAATATCATATGATAATTTTTTTCATGACTTTTGTGCAGAAAAATGGCCACCATTTAAGTGAAGTGACTACGATCAACGTCCTACATCGTTTTCTATATTACTTCTTTTTGGTAGTGTGATTACAGGTTCATTTTTACATTTAGTTTTATTTTTTGCAGGATATATATCATTACACACTACGACAAAAGTTTACGAGACCCCTGACAGCAGACCTAGGAGACCTCCAACCGATCGACACCATGTCCGTTGTTTTCTAGAAAACGAGGTTTTGATCGTCTTATTCATTTGAATTGTTCAGCCATTGAGGTTAATAAGATTTCCTTTACATTTGTCTGTTTTTTCTAAAACTGTGGTAAATAATTCTGAAATAAAATTAATTTGCAGAATCAAGACATCAATAATGATCATATGACTTATTGGCTGTCTAATACTTCTACGTTATTGTTCTTGCTCGAAAAAAGTCTGAAATCTTCTGGGACAGCTGGTGCCACCCCAGTTCGTAAGGCACAACCGCAACCTCTCTATTCGGGTGGTTGACATTAATATTCAAATTTTTTTGTTTTTTTTTTCGATTTACAAAGTAGATAAATATGAAATAATTTGTTTTACAAGGATTTAGGTCACCTTCTTCGACAAGCCTAGCCAGCTGCAGGAGCTACTGATAAGGTGCGATAAGTCCAAGCGAAATATCCAGCTCTGCTTTTCATGCAGCAGCTTAATGCTTATGTTGAGAAATTATGTGTAACTATTCGAGATAACTTGAAGGATTTGGGAGCACTTCTTGCATTACGTATTCAGGTATGCTGATTGATAAAATATTTATGTTTTATTAAATATTATGTGAGCAATGCCTTCATGATTTATTATACTTTAATGATTTCAGACTCCAAGAACCTCTAAAGGTAGTGTGTTGAGGTCTGGTCGATCTTTCGGCAAACATTCTCATACAAATCATTGATTGCCTCAAATCATTAGTTTATCAGGTGACGTTAGCTGGATTTTTTTCTTCTGATAAGCTCTCTTTCTGTGTGTGTGCCCATGTGCGTGAATGTGTGTATCTATATATTCTAGTGGAGCTGTTCAGGTGACATTAGCTGGATTTTTTCTGATAAGCTCTCTTTCTGTGCGTGTGCCCATCTCTTTCTATGTGTGTGCCCATGTGCGTGATTGTGTGTTTCTATATATTCTGATGGAGCTGCTTTGATGATTGTTGATAATTTGTGGAGCTGATAATTTGGGCATTTAGAAACCCTCTCGTATCTTGATGTGGCGAACCCGGATGGCTGCGATTTTGGGGTAATTTATATTTCCCCAATCGCATGCAACCGGTGATTCTGCAACCATGACGGGGTGGAATGTTTCTTTGCCAACTTGAACGATTGGGCAACAGATCTGAGCCTCGTTTCCATTAATTCACTGCATACTCGAATTCCCAATACTTGTGATGATTGTACTGTATGTTCCCAATACTTGTTTTTCCTTAATATAATTTTATGTTAAGAGTATTTTTAAACTTTATCAGAGTTGGCAACCCCCTTGATTCTTGCCATTGTTATTTATAAATCACAAGTTCTTTTTACAAATCAATCCATCTCTCTTGTTTTTTGTTGTTCCAAGAACTCGTTGGTTGTTGGCCACCTACCTATACCTCTACTACTATGGGTCGAGATAAAAGCGCAAGGACTCGGTGTGATCTGGAAACACTTCAGATAAGTGTCTGGCAGCCTTGTTAGATTCTTCAAGGATTTTTGCAGAGAGCAGAAGTTCTTCTTTGTTTCTGATGATCGCATCATCCACTTGCTTCCAACATCTTACTAAGACGTCATTGTTTGAGTTTACGCGAGAAAGGTTGATTTTTATCTCTCTAGTCAATTGTTTGGTAGATCTTTATATTCCAAAGGTTATGTGGTTGAGAATATAAATGCTAAACATGTAAATGCTTTTGCAGGATGGAGTAATTTCCGAGGCTTTTATGAATATTCAGTTGAAGACTTATGGGACAAGTTCATGCGACAGTGAAGAGGTAAAAGCATTAAAACAATGGTCTTCCAGTATGATCTTCTCTTGTAGAAATCTGTATAGATGTTATTAATTATTGACTTTCTTGTGAAAAACTCTTCCTATCTTTCTTGTTTGTATTATGACCACTCTCTTCTCTTTGGTTTTCTATGTGTACTAAATTTTCTATTATATTGTTAATTATTCATGAATTGTCTATTTATTTATTTGGAGAGGAGCTTCAGCTTCAGGTCAAGGAAGACAAAGACACGACGCTGAAAGAAATAGAATTTCAAAAATGACAGCTGAGCAAAAATCACTTAATACAGGTGAGCAAAAATCCCTTAAAGCGTTAAAAATGTTAATTGGGTGAAATTATAATTTTCATTATGTTTATTGTTTCATCCGTTTATGTGTCATTGCAGACCTTAGTGAGCTCTCTTGAAACGAAATTCCGCGAAATAGAGAAGACATATGAAGCGATGGACAAACTTAGCCAGGGGAGTTTGAAACAACAAGCAGTGTAGAAGAAAAAAATCGACATGGAATCTGAGAACAAAATTCTTCGGCAGCAAACCTTGTTAACTGCCTCTAAGTTAGAATCAGAACATCGATTAGCAACAAAGGTTAATTACGTATGAAGAAAGTTTGCTGTAGTTCTGTCTCCTTTATTCCTTCTCAATATCATATGATATTTTTCACGACTTATGTGCAGATATCTCGGAATGGTCACCATGCAAGGGGAGTGAGTACAATCAACGTACCATTCTCTATCTATCTATAGAATTTAATGTAATTTTATCTGTATTATTTTTTTACTGTCATTACAGCCCCATTTTTCATGTTGGTTGATTTCTGCAGGATATATACCATTACATACTCGACAAAAGTTTACGAGGCCCTGATAGCAAACCTAGGAGGCCCCCCAACTGATCGTCACCGTGTCTGTGCTTCTAAAAAATGAGAAGTTTTTCCATATTCCTTGTTCGAAATTCTTGGTTTACTAGACGTAGTAATTTCGAATCTTACTGCAGGAGGATGTTGAAGCTTTCTTGGAATATGTAATAAAATATACGGGCGTCAGCCAAGTAAGCCCGTTTAAGATTTCACAATATATAAAAATGTCTTTTGCACTGGAAATATTTTGAATCTGAACGGACAAGTGCATTTGGTCGTCTTATTCAGATGATTCATTCAGCCATTGAGGTAATATTTCCTCAATATTGGTCTGTGTCTGGAACACGCAAAAACCACCTACTGCTTATGCTGAGAAAATCTATGGCACTATTTCAGGTTCCTCAATTTCTTGTTCAGAAGAGATTTAATCAAACATTTTATATGTCTTTTAACTTCGAACGGAATCTTTGTGAACTTCTTTTACTACTTTTGTCCAAACATATGACTCAGTCTTTTTCAGTGTTTTCTGCATCAGGGGTGTTGTACTTTCAGCAATGGGGAGTATGTCAAATTTGGGTTGACTGAGCTAGGACAGTGGTTCTGTCAAGCAAAAGAAAAGGTAAATAGTGTATCACCATATCAAGAATGCACCTTTTTTTTAGTGCCAATACTATTATGTTTTTTCCCGTACTATTATTTTTTTCCCCATATCTTCTCGCATTGACAAACTACTCTTGGCATCGCAGTAATCAGGCTCAGCTTGGTATGAACTCAAACACACAAGACAAGCCAATGGCTTCTTAGTGAGTTCTCTCTCGTGTAGTGCCGTTTTTCCTAGAAATGTTTTAGTAATTATATGGACCGTAAATCTCGTTTCAAAATGTTTCAAAGAACTGGTATCTGTGACATAATATAACCTAGGTTTTTTGTTTCATTTGCCTTTTTGAGCAAATCAATAAATGAACTAGAGGAAGAATATTGTTTTGACGATTCCAATATGTTTGATTCCCCAGATTCTTAGTGTACAGCTGCTCTACAGAATATGTATACTGGGACGATAACTATAATACTCAAAGTGTGTCCACTGAATTAAGTAAATGATGGTCTTTGTTTCTCCTAGAAACCCATTACTTCATTCACATTTTCAGTATAAAAACATATGTTGCCAGAATTTAATATTTCCAACTTTTATAACAGGTCATATCCGACATGAGGGTGCTAATGACGGAGGACTCAAAAAATGTCAGCAACTCGTTTCTTTTGGATGACAATTCCAGGTAACGAGCTATTTATTTTGCTATGTCTACCTTTTAAAGTTCCGAAAAAAATCTTGTTCATAACACCTCCCAAATAATAATAAATTAATTAATTGACAAGAAAAGCAGATCCTAGGTAGGACATTATCGTTGTTATCCACATCTTCCTTCACTTGACAGCAATCTCATGAGTCTCTTTTCACATCTGAAACAACTTCATTTTAAATTTGAATGATTTTTTCGCTTCAACATCTAGGTTTGATTTAGTCTTGGAAAATGTGAAGTATAACCTGGTGTACATCGGCAATTGACACCAGTATGTTGGTTTTAATTTTGTATTAATCTATAGTTTGTATGTGGATAGAATTGTGATAAATAGGTAACCAACTTTACAGATGGTCATATATTTTCATTTATTACGTATGTCAATTCCTGACATGCTATTCAACTATTGGAGTATTGTGTCCATTGATACACAAAATAGTAGAATGCATTACTCTCAATACTTAAGCATCTTTCGAGCAATCTTGAGGACCGAAGAGCAGCTGATTTTGTTTCGTATCGTAAACAAAACGTTGGTTCGTCTGTTGATAAGATCCTAGTACGCTAATAAAATCGCTCGGAATTATTGCCAAACAAAAGTATTCGCCTTTGACAGAACCAATCTTGTCCAACACAAGAAACAGCGATTCCGGCCTAACCACAAGATCAGCATTCTTGAAATGAAAGGTCATGCTGGGAAGGTTTTTATACCCTTCGTTTTTTCTTCGTTCGTAGCATAGCTCAAGCCCCCCTAAATTCAGCTTTGAACTTCTCCGGTTCCAAAAGTGCCTCTTTAGTGCTTTTATCAACACCGTATAAGCCGGTTGCACGAGTCTTGAAAATGGAGTGCCCGAGTCAATTATGCAGCCACCGGAGCCATCACCTCTCAATTGAAAATCCCGATCAGAAAGGCTCGTCAATCTCTTGTTGTTGATGCTAATACCTTGTAAAACCAGATGATAGACCGTTTGATCCTTAACACGTAGCAACGGTGTGACCTTTAAATCCGGTCGTTTTATTACATCACCACCAAATCTTAAATATGTAATAGGCCAGTTGCTAGTGTTCTTGTTGTCGACCGGTGGAAGACAATAAGAAAATATGCCTCGAGTTATAGAGTTAGCTTGAGCGACAATGGAATACGAACCCCACCCAAGACCCATTACTCCTGCAATTTGATTGCTGCTATTACCATAGGTTTTCCTGTTATAAACTCCACAGCCGAATACGAGATTTCTTACAACCTCGGTTCTTCCAACATCTGAATTGAATACAAAGTTTTCGGAAGCAAGAATGCCCGATGAGAAGGTGTTGTCTAAGTAACTCATGTTATACGAGCATGAACCATTGATACAGTGATTTGGTTCACATAGGCTGTTGTTGTTTTTATTACAAAGGATGGGTCGGTAAGAACTTGACCTGTTATTTGGGTAAACGGGCTCTTTCTGTGGGAAGCATCTACCGCCACTTGCCCTGCACCCTTCACACTGCATCCACAGCAGATCACTGCCACTGTCCATGTATAAATAGTATGATCTGAATGATGGATAACGGGGTTCAGGTTTGAAAGTCCCGATGCCGATTTTTACCATGTAATAGTAAGGAGATTGTATACCAACTTGTGGTCTGATCAGCAAATTAGGATTTTTAGATTTTCTTGATACTAGTGATGATGCATAGGATTGACTGAGAAGTCTTTGATTTCTTTGTTCATGACTAAGGTTGTTCTCGAAAACCAATGATGCATGACTAAGTTGTAGTTTGATGCCATTGGCTATCTCCGTCAAGGCATTTGTTTGCAATAGAAAAAACAAAATACAAAGAGCCCACGACATCGGAATTTTGATGGTGGCTTTTCGTCTCTGGGATTTTTCTGTTTCAATTCTTTGATTTCAGTGAAAATATTATTGAGTTCTAAGGATATAACCATGTTTATTACCATTTGCCAATTAATTTCTGCATTAAAGAGAAGAAGATTTTTCACACCCTGAAAAGATGATTTCTTGTAAATGCAGTTTCCATTTTTTATTTATTGGAATTAGAAATTATGTTTTCTTATTCACAGATATCAGCATTACAAGATCAAGTAATATGACTTTCTATCCTTATTCACAGATTTTACAGAATCAAACATTTGCTAAGATTTGGAGCTCTGCCACCTAAGCGCCAAGAGTGCAATCTTCATGGCCAAAGTACAGCTTCCGTTTCACAATATCAAATACGAAACGAGTATTCGCCTGCTGCAAAGCTCCAATCACAATCAAACCATCGATATCATGAGCAGCCATCGCTAGACAAAAGTAGTTATTTTTACCCCTCTTTCCGAATATATACCCCAATTGAGGAGGCAACACCATATCAGAATCCTGAAAATGGAAAGTAATATTCGGAAGGTCCTTAAATCCCTTGTTACGCGGGAACAAATAACACACGTCCATACTTTCTAAATTCCTCGTCTTTTTGTAGCTCAAAAAGTGATTCTTGATCAGCATTTCTTTCAGCTTCTGATACACCACTGGAGGAACCACCGTTATCGTACTCCCTGAGTCCACTATACAACCTCCATAGCCGCCGCCATCTGCGTTTGTACGAGCAAGCATCGAATCTGTTATAGTGTTGACTCGTTTGTTCGCAATGCTTATGCCTTTTAAGACCACGAAATAAAACGGGTTGTCGCGGTTTATAATCAACGGTGTTGACTTGAACCCCTTCGTCTGTGGCACATCATTACCGAACCTGAGGAAAGTGGTGGATTTATGTGCAGACTCGAACGGTGGGAGACAGTAAGAAAACCTGCCTTGAGTTATGTCCCGTTTTTGAGTTAAAAACGAGAGCTTTCCGGGGCCCATACCAAAATTGCCCGCAACGATATTTGTTTTCGAGGACTCGCTAAAACCGAGGTTTTTTATGCCACATCCGAAAACAACTTTTTGGACAGTTGCGGTCTTGTTCTTGTCCGAACGGAAAGTTAAGCTTTCCTGAGCGAGGTATCCGGAAGTTGCTGCATCGTCAGCGTAGACGATTTCGTAGGAGCAGGTGGATTTGATGCACTCTCCGGGGGTGCAGAGGGGGTGTTTGTTGCATGGGAGGGGGCGGTAGGTCTTGGATTGGCGGGCGGGGAAGAGTGGTGCCGCCTGGAGGAAGCAGGAGCGCGTTCTGCGGCACTCGTCGCACTGGGCCCACATGAGCTCGCTGGCGGTGTCGATGTGGAGGAAGTACTTGTTGTGTGGGGCCCGCGGCGGGGGGAAAGTTCCGAAACCGGTTTCGATCAAGTACATTAGGTCCTGGTTTTTCATTGTGGGGCGTATTAATATTTGATTCGAATTATTTGTTTGCATGCTTCTTTTTGATGATGATGAAATGAAATTTGAAAGCCAATTAGCATAGGCAGATGATGATCGAAGATGGATGTTGATTCTTTGATAGTGAGTTAGGTTTCCAGGGTAAAATGGGGAATCTGTGGAGTGCTTGTGGATGAGTTTGATGCTCAATGCATTGGAGTTTACAGCTAAAAAAATGAAAATTAAGAGGAGAGGGTTTGAAAGTGTGTGCATATAATTCATATTTGTTTAAGTTTCTATTTTGGTTTAGTGTAGAGAGATTCTGTGTTAGTTGATTACGGAGTTATGTATAATCAGATAAAGTTGATTCATTGATGATTCATTGATGGTTGTACATATCCACTATTGCCTTTTCTTCTCTTGTGTTGAAAAGATTGCATTCTCTTTGTACATAAATAAATACACCCCAGAAAAGTGTAGTGTAGTGTGGCATTCAACAAAGAACCAGGCCTAATTAATTTTAAAGTGGAAAAATCTATCTGGGCGGATTCTGTATTAATTAATTTCTCTTTATGTGATTTTTGATACATTTTTTTAATATTCTTTTATTTTATTACAGAATTCGAACTGGCCTAAATTTAGATTTCATGGGCCCAACATAGCTTTTTATGGGTCCAATATAGTTTTCTCATGGGCCCAATACAGATTTCATGGGACCATTAAAAGTTACGCCAGGCCCAAGAAACTTATATGTTGGGCTGTCAAAAAGTTGTAATGGGCCCATAAAAAGCTATATTGGGCCGTGTAACAGTTGTAATGGGCCTGTTGGTTTTCTGCCTCTTAATGGGCCTCGCCTGTTGGGTTTCCACCTCTTAATAGTCCTAATATTTATACAGTAAAAAGTGTAGAGGATTTTTTGTGATTTTTGCTTCATTGTTCAAAACTCAATTCAACAGTTTATAGAGCTGTTTTTCGACTTATAATGAATAAACATGTTTTTTTACTATATATTTGACTGCTAAAAAATATTAAGTAAAGATTTTAACTTTACGGGTGCTTTTCAGCCAAAATCGTGTGCTATATAGTATAGGATTTTTTGTGATTTTTGCTCCATTGTTCAAAACAAAAATATAAAAAAAGATTTACACATTTCAGCGATTTTAGCAAAAAGCGTGTGCTTTTTAGTATATAATGTTCTGTGATATTTATTCGATTGTTCAAAACTTAGTTCAACAATTAGTTTTCGACTAAATAATGCATAAACATCTAATATACTAAATTTTTTCTTGTTAAAAAATATTAATTGAAGATTTCGACTTTTCAACGAACTTTAGCAAAAAAAAGGTGTGCTGCATAAGATACATCTCTCAACAAGTTACATGTTAAACATTACTATGCTACAAACATAGGAAATGGCTAAACTAACATGTGTCTGCTACTACCACATGCCAATTGAAAAACAAAGAGGACAAAAGAAAAAAGGAAAGAAAAATTGTCTTGGGAGTGAGATAATAACACATAATAAATACACAGAAATTTGCAGAACATCATCCACACATGTAACTTACTTTGAGCAGCAGTTTTGATCACTGAAAATCCGCAAAATCATCATCAGAGAGAGGATGATCGCTACCGATCGATCTTTGCGAAACGGCCCTTTACCCTCGTCCTACTTTCTGCCCGAGCTTTCCTCGATTCGTATCTAATGTGTTTATCATACCTTTAACCAAAAAAAGAATGACAGAATTAATGTAAGAATTATCACTATTGTCCAACCTTCAAAGAAATGCACCATAATAAGGTTAACTTATTGAACTGAAAAATCAAATTTTATATATATTACCTCCTAGTTTTCTTTTTTTCTTTGTAGCGTGAAATAGCAGAGTCTCTCTCATGGCTGTTCAATTCACGGGCTGGAGGAGGAACTTCAAAGGGTTTGGAGTCCACAGGCACATGATGATGAATTTCTTCGAAACCATTTCCAATATCTGTACCGTCACCAAAATCGGAATCCTTATCGGGTACCAAATGGTTCATGTCGAACAAACTATCGATGAAGTTGGAAGAAGGAAAGCCTTCATCATCTGGAACCCCACTGGTAAAGCTACTCCATTTGAGTTCGTTTGTCTGTAAATAGAGAATGTCAGTTATTTTCATTCCTATTTTATACTAGACAAAAATCAGATATGCTGTAAGAACAATCGAGAATCGATAATAAGAAAGTATTTGAAACCTCATATGAATCACAAGAATCCGGGAAAAGAGGCAGATTACCTCATATGAAGGAACTGATATTGGCTCTGTGTTATTTTCAAGGTCTGGCTCACACTTTCCGGGTACTTGCAGTTCAAGATCTTCCAAAGAACCACTGAAGTTGGGATCCTTTTTCGCCATCGCACGAAGTTGGCAAAATATTTCTTCTTTATGTTGACCACAAACCGCATTCCGGTTCTAAGAGAATAACGATATTTAAAAGGAGAGATTAACATTTAGAAGATGCAAAAACAAGCACGAGTAGATTATGGCAGATGCTACGTAAACTATATAAATGGAACAAGTTAAACAGAGATTTGTTTGACTCAGTCGAAAGAGACCAAGCCCCACGCAGTTCCAGATGTTGGTGTCAAACAAGTTCCGAAAGTCCCTCACTAGAAACATAAATTTAACAAAATTAAAAGAAAATTGGCACAGAGTAGATATCATCACAAGCAGAGGAACCATTTCAAGAAATTCAGTATGATATATAACAATTAATAACACATGAAAAATTGCACCAAAATCTACACTGAGAGATAATCAAAATCACAGTATTTTTCTGTGTACACTCTAAGCTTTATCACCATATAAATCAAATGAACAAATAAAATAAAACAATTAGAGATCAATTTTTTGGGGAGAAATAATGAAGAAAACCTTAGGCAGAGGAGGGACTCCCATAGCCTGAAAACTGGGGGAAGAATCGGCACAGTCATTGGAAGCAATCAAATCATCAAGGCTGGCAATTGAAGGAGTCTCCCAAACCAACAAATCCAACCAATCGCCATCGTTCTCACCGCCGAAATCGAAGCTTTTCTTCCCCAAATCCTCCAACCCTAAATAACCCAAGAGCTCGGTCAAAGAAGGGCAGCCGTTGAAACCCTCAAGAGGTCTCCGGTCATGAGCAGACCTAGCGTTGTTGTGTGTTTCCCAGTCGCAATTCTGACAGAGAACGGCCGATTCAGTGCTGCAGAAAATAGAAGCCGGCGACGAATTGCAGGAATCGCAGAGAAGGGAGCGGCTGTGCTTCCGAAAGAGCTGGTTCGTGGAGTGCACTTCAAGGTCACACTTCAAACATAGCTTCGCTGAGTCAGCTCGGCAGTAGAGTAGGGCTTTTGACTCGTTGCAGAAATCGCAGAGACGGTCGGTTTGTTGCTGCTCGGTCATGGTAATCGATTTTTCCTTGTCGAAATTGAAAATTTTTCTTCTTCTACGTAATCATCAAAACTCGCAGTAATCGATCGTCAAAAACACACCTGTGTGTTGTTGATTCAGTCACAGATTCAGTGTGTGTGTGTGTGTGTGTGTGTGTGTGTGTGTGTGAATGGAGGAGGAAGATGAAATGGCAGCACTAAAAGAGGAAAGAAAACCTTATCGCTTTTCACGTGTCTCGGCCGCAGATGCATTTACAAACTTGTGCACAACGGAACAAATTTCTTTTTTTCTTTTTACTGCATATTTAATTATATAATATTCAATTTTATTGAGGTCAAACTTGTAATTATTTAAAATATGCAATAAAAGTCTCAGATTAAAGAGGAAAATACGCAGTTGTTTCGTGGTTGGGTGTGGTGACAAGTCACTGATCACTAATAATAATAATAAACAAATTTCATTTCTTTTCTTGATGTCCAAGTTCTAATTATGTTTCAATGGAAGCAGATATTTAATTATTTTATTTTATTTTAATTTTCAATGGAAGGAAAAAGGGAGATATTTGGTGAACTGATGGTACAGACGTTAATGAAATATCAATTTGTCTTCATATTGTTTGTCAAGTGGTAGCAGACAACTCCAACTTTTCGTGAAATATCGTATTCGGTGAACTGTATATTTATTACTATGTAATAATATAGTTGCAATACATAATTTATGCACATTCATACATATTTGCACCAACAGGGGTAGGAGTTGGAGTAGGAGGAAGGCATAATATCAAAGCTTTTATTCAAAATTAAATAACAAAAAAGAAATTTAAATATTAGGTAAGTAGTTTTCTCAGTGTATGTGCATAGTTAGTTATCTATCAAAATCTAAAATTCAAATCTGCATCTAACTTTTCCCCGGTGAAAAAGGGAACATATGATACTGATAATTCCACGTCACCGAAATTGATTAAATGCCCTATTCAGCACAAAGACAAAGATATTTATGTTTCAAGGGACCCACATTCCACATACACATACACGTACAACTGAATGCGGATGATATATATATATATATATATATATATATATATATATATATATATATATATTCAGAGTCACACAATTAAAAAATATGAAAAAATAGTTAATTACTAATTACTAGGTGACAATATAGAATGAGAATAGCAAAATTCCAAAAATTGTGGAACAACAAGCCTACTTACTATATAAATCATCTCACCGTTTATTATCTGGAAACTGCCAAAACTTTTAGCTCACAAAATCATCTCAAGATTTCCGGTATCTACTCACTTTCATCTTTATCCATATCTTTTATTCGGATTTCTACCTACCCCAAACAGAATAAATTATTATCCATAATCTTTCCAACATCCAAACACATCCTATCCTATATATTTTTGTGAATGCATAATTCGTCTAAATACCAACATATATAATAATAGAATAATACGGAGAAAACGGTCTATTCTATGTGGTGAAAGTAGACGACTAGGTATACCGTATATCAGCACATTCATTCACACATTCATTAACAGAGAACTAGGGAAGACCCCCAAAAGTATCGGTGTAAAGTAACTATTGCAAATTTCTCCGTAAACCAAATATTTCCTATTTCACGGTGGGCTACAATAATTGGCACTATTGACGAAAAAAAACAGTAGTTGTTGGTGAACATCATTAAAAAGACAAACAAAGAAAGTTTCTCGAAATGGTAATGAATTCTTCAAATCAAGTCAAGAAATGTGCTTACTGTGATACATTGCATTACAGATACCTGTTCGGCTATGTTTGATGATTCTCCCCACTTGTTATAACGCGGGTGTTGTAAGAATTACAGAGCTGACACTTGTGCCCAAAAATGTGAAAAGATGCCTTGCTGGATTTGTTGCAATCATTGCACAGTATTTGAACCTATAAGATTAATCAAATTCCGTAAATTATATGATATCAAAATTGATAGTCAACGATTGTCGGACAACCTGACCAGTTTAATATTAATAAGCTAAGAGTATGGTGAGAATTGCTCTTAGTGAAATATATAGTCATGAGCAAATCTCAACAAATTAGTGCATTAAACTTCATCGAGACAAATAATGGAGAGAAATGGATAAAGAACTTACTTCGTATCGGTATTCCTCAGGCATTGCAGTAGCTTCGATCTGTCAAAAAACAAAATTCTAACATTAAAACCACATCACCATTTTGTAATGCATATTCAGAATGCAGAATCAGATATGTTTAAACCAGAAAGGTAGAACGGTAACTTGAAAGATCGGGGGATTAGATAACTTGATAGATACCAGCAACAAATATAAAATAAAAGTTCTTGTTAAATCCATGATAAAAACCAAGGGCTCGTAACATTTCTGTTTCAACTGATTACCTATGAGCGTATCTTTTACAGATATAAGCTATATTACGAAGCGAAGAACATGAGCACCAAAGCAAGCCAGAAGTTCAAACCATGTTCTAAGACTACTTTCAACTAAAAATGTGCTTATAAATCGAATTAATTAGAAAAGGTAGAGCAGCAATCTTTCTAGTGATCACTGTGTATCGAAGTCCTCAAATATCATAGCATAACTATAAAATCATATCAAGAAGAAAGCCATATGATACAAGAGTGATAAGCTTGATCAAGAAAAAAGTAAATCACGGAATACCTCCACATCTAATCTTTCCCATGTTCTAGCCATATTCAATACTGACTTGGAGCAGATTGGACAACGGTACCTGTAAACAATTCACACATAAAATTTAAATGTCATTTCAGAGAACCAGATGATTCAGTTAACAAGGAAAAGAAAAGACACGGAGAAAATGTAATGCGTACTGGTTTTGGTTGAACATCTCCTCGTAACACTCGACATGCATCGTATGCCCACACTTAAGAATCGTTGTTTGTTTGGTTGAGTCAAAAAGAAACTGCATGCAGGACACAATATCACTAATTACGAGGAAAAAACTTACCACTGAAATCAAGATTTATTAGTGTGAAATGCTAACCTCATAACAGATGGGGCAATGGCTTTTCATTGAATCCTCTACACACAAGTGATTGTTGCGTAAACCTACTGAATAGCAAGATCCTGCACTCGGAGAGAAAATGTTACGGATACGTATATCACCATAAGTATGGGCATCTAAGTCATACAAATATTGTAACATTCAAAAGGATGTGGAAAGTTATAAGAACAAACCAGGGGGGAAAATTAAACTTACCACACTTTGGGCAGTGAAAGAAGTTTTCCCGACCACCAACTCTGTGAATCGTGGTTGCATCAAACATCTATTATGGAAAAATACTAAACTGTACAAATTGTAAGATTATAGATCTCTCTTACCTACAAATACTGCAGTCGTTGCAATGGAACTGCTCTTTAGTGATCTGTAACATCAACAAGTTACCAACGTCATTAAACAAACAAGAATAAGAAAGACACCATCCTACTGCATTTAGTTATAATAATATCAGCTCCATTTTTCCCTGTTTCAATTTCTATTAAGAAAGTTTTTTATCATGTCACCAAAATACAGTTACGAGGACAAAAAAATTACATCATCGTCATAGAATTTGCATATACCGCAGAAGTACTCTCCAAACTTGATGCCGCAATTCGAACAGAGATTGGAAACCTACATAAGTGGAGAGAAGTCGATATATTCGAGTTACGTAACGATTAAAATTTAAAACCACCTTTAAAACGACCACACACACACATACACACAGAGGCTTAGACAAGGATACGAGAACGAGACCTGTTGTTCTGTATTGCATACGGCACAAACAACCTAAAAGTACAGAAAAATTCAATTGAAAATCAAACAGGATAATAAAATGAAAACAGTACACAGGCATTAAACTAAAAAGTAAAGTGAAGTGGATTTACTTGCTCAACATCCTGACGAACAACCTCATGTCTCTGTTTTGGATCACTCAAAGCACTCTACAAAAATACCCCAAAAAAACACAAAATATAAATACACCAAAATATGCACAAAACACAAAAAACAGAGAAACAACACAAAAACTCACCGTCGCTTCGTTGTGACAGTGACGGCAAGTGAAAACCTGATCGCAACAAGGAGCTCTTATTTTGCATCTTCTCCTATAATGCTCGCACCTAAAACAGCAGTCGGAAGAAAAAAATCTAGGGTTTCTTTTCTGCTACTATTACGAAGACAAAAAAAACATTTTAAATTGGAAAAAGGACGTATACCCATGAAGCATTTTCCCGAAATCTTCTCTCGGAACATTATTAAGATCACAATTTTGGGGCTGTTCAACTGAATCATCGGCGCCTTGGGCTTCCATTGACGGATTGCTGTGCTGTTGCAGGTCAGGAAATAGAATTACGCGCACAAAATTTATGCCATATCTCTGTTTTCTGTTCACTACGGTACTTTCCGATGACTGTTAAAATCGTTAGTTATTTAATTTGTAAGGGTGTTAGCGTTGATGCTAGAAACACGCGATTTAGAGGTATGATTAACTCACCGAGCGGTGACAGAAGAAAACTAAATGACGGTCTAATTAATCTTCAACTAAATAAACTATATTAAACTTTTAGTGAAATAAATATCTGAAAATAACAAAGTTGCCTCAGGGACTTGAAAGCAATTTTCAAGACTCTCAATCATCATTTATCAATTATCACAATAAAATGCATCAGGTTTTTTGTTCAATTGGGGAAATTAAATAATAAATGAATTTCATGACCATAGAGCAACTGAGCAAATGCATATCAAACTAAACCTCATTAATACAGATTACAAACAGTCTGAAATACTGTATTGAAAAAGAAAAGAAAAAAAATCTTCATGTGAGACCTTATTCTACAATTTCGATTACTTTCTAAAATCGATTTTCCAGTGCATTATTTCTTTCTTTTTTTCGATAGAAACTTCGGTATAGATGTTACAACATGAAAATGTGGGAGCGGTTGGCCTTGTCTGAAAGATGCTCCCGAGTCGTGGCTCTAAAGGATGGTGCAAGAACACAAGCCCTGTTTTTCCTTCTTATCTGCATAATACCAAAAGCAACGAGATTAAACGACCGATTGCTCAAATTAAGACCACCTTTGAACATGTAAGACAAGCCTCAGTATCTTGAAGGACAGTATCTCAGGTTACATTTCGATGTAAGGAATTAGATTTGGAGGAATGATTTGTTAATATCACTTCGATGACCGATTACACATGAAGTCTGGATTATGAATCCACGAAATAAAAGCTACATGTATGTATGTATGTATATGTAATAGCGTAAGTTTAGCAGAAGATACCTGTCTTTCGATCAGCAATAGGAGGTTGTACAACAACATGCATGGTAATAACTCCAGGAAGATCAGTAGTGTGTACTCCAGACTCTGCAAGTGTCTTTCCATTCTCCAAAACTTTACCGGCATGTATCACTTTCATATCATCCACCGACTTTGGTACTAGTGATTTATCTATAAAATGCAGAGGGACATAGCTCAGTCAGGAATCTTAATATAAGTCGATAAAATATTCGAAACTAAACATTATAATACTTCATATCAATCTCAACTGGAAGTAAACAAAACAAAACGAAACAATCTAAAATACAATCATCGGCAAATTTGTTCATCGAAACCAAGGATCTTTCTCGAGCATCACATGCCAGAGACAGGAGTATTATTAGAGGATTGCAAAACGTATTTAGCGGGAAAAGACAACTCCACGAACCATTAATTGACATCGGAATTACATCCACAACAAAGAAAAAAAACAGCGTCCCTACAACTTAATCCGAGAAACCTTTTCAATATAAAAGTTAATCAAGATAAAGTTTGTTGCAAAGGCAGAATGACAACCTTGAGGCCACTCAGAAAGAAGTCTTTGTTTGAGTGTTGCAATAGTAACGGACGACTGGTATGTACCATGACATATATCTGTCCCGTCAAAAACCCTGAACCTAAGTTCAAGGTTCTCATCTCCTTCAGCCATTGATATTCGCAAAACTCCAATGTGATATAACAAGTCTACGATCAACGGAATTCAAGTTACCAAAATTCACCTGCCCACAAGAATTTTAAAGAGATGAAATGAAATACACATTCATGTTTCATAAATAAAAATGAAAATGAAATTGATAAGTACCTAAGAGGACCGAATTTACAAACCTGTCTAGACAATATTTCAAGAAAACGGAGCAGCAATTTTACATTTGAATCACCGCCAAATGAACGGAATAACCACTTCATATGATCCGAAAGCTTCTCTTATCACAGACAGAAAACCTCAGAGAAGTCCCTGCCTCAGAAACCTGCTCAACTGCATGTAAAGCAGATGAAATTGTACATGAAATATGGATCAAGTATTTATCAGATGAAATTATACATGATATAAGTATTGAATACTAATTTTATCTCGTAATTTTTCGAAAGAAATTCAATCAACTATAATTCAAGGAAATTACTGAATAACAAATTTGCAGAACAAATTTTCCTTAGTTATTTTCTTCTAGCATCACTCCGTCAAATTACATCTCCCAATTCCATTTTGAAAAATCACACTAGGAAATGATAACGAAATCTTGAACACTGATTAATAGGAACTGTAACACAAATTCGTAAATAGAGCTACAAAATTTCCAACGGAAATTAAACCTAATTTCTTCCATATTTTTGCCCTTTCGACAGATTAAAATTAACACGAAGCAGTAATAGAAGTAAGCTTCAAATAAAATGAGAAAAGGAAGTAGTAACCTGATCAAACCATATGATTGAAGATCGGCGAGGGGTAGAGAAATAATTCGGTGGGATTAAGCGTACACCACCGCCGGAGAAAGTGCCGCCGTGCAGGGTTTCCGGTTTATCGCCGATATTGTAGATTCCGTCTAGAGCGAGAGAGAGGAGAGAGAGGGAGGGGATTCGTGCTGGCTGACGCTTTGGCTGTCTATTACTCTTTTCTTTTCTTTTCTTTACTCTTTTTTTTCCTCATATTTGGATCTTTAATTTTATTATTTTATGATTTTTTTTAATTTATAAAAATCACTAAATTAAATATGTAGTTGACCAATTTAAATAATTTGATATAGCAAATAAAATATCTTGATTCCAAAAAAAAAAAGAAAAATGGGAATATTATGGCTTTAAACATCAAAAAAATAAAGTTAAGTTGAATCCAATGGATTCTTATACCTACTCAAGTGGAGCATTTTAATTGTTTCAACTTTATGCAAATGGAAGAAAATGCATAACGAATTTAATAAAGTGAAAAGCATAATAAAATTTATTTCCTGCCCAAAGAATTTAATAAATATATGATTTAATTACTTATTCAAAATATAAATTAGTTTTATTTCGATTATTTAGGCCAAATTTATGCTTGAAGTGTAATTGTGTAGATAATTATTAATTAGTAATGATATGCATGGTTTAATTCACGACATAGAATTACCTTAGTTTCTACCAACATCGGCCCAAGAAAAAGCCCAATGAAGAATGCAATTTGGGCCTAAAAGATAAATTTTTGGGCCCTTAAATTCTTAAATCCAATTAAAAAAAAAAAAAGGAAATTAGCTAAAACTTCCTAAAAAAAAAAAAAATTATCGTCAAAAGAGCACAGGACTTTTAGAGAGCTTAGACCAAGTATTACACAAAAAGTTTAGTTAAGGAGTTTAGTTATGTTTAGTGGTCATTTACTACGAAAACACTTACTTATTTGCAATCATTTATATCCCAAATCATGTAGTCAAACAAAGTGACCAACAAAATACATAGATCGTTTACTTGATTCTTTGTGTATTTGATATGCCTAATTGGGCCAACCCAATGGGCCTACAATTTCTTTACCTACTGGGCTACGAGCCCAATATCGAAGACTAATATCACCGAGGCCCAAACACCTTCAAGTAAGGTTTGGGCCCAACAAAACAAACCCAACCCAATAAACGACATATAAATAGAGGTTTTACTCATTTTATTAAGGTACGTCCTATTATCTGAGCAATACTACTAATGGTATTCTCTGGACTATTTCTATGATCAGCACGTCTGACTTGAGCGTCGGAGGGGTTTCCGCCGGATCAACCCCCGGCTTAGCTTATGTGTTCTATGATCGCAGGTACCTCAGGATCATCAAGTTGTCAAGCTACTGATCTGTTTTGCTCTCCCAGTTCGTTTTCTACACCACCCCAGGTGATCTAAATACTTTTTAGCATCATCATTTTGGCGCCGTCTGTGGGAACGATGCAAACCAGATCACGTAGCCAACAAGATCCTCCTGAGGCGTCTGCTCGGAGAGAAAATGACACAGCTAACGACCTCCCATCTCGTGGAGGCTCTGGCTTGCCACCTCCTCCACATCTCATGGATCCGCCTCGCGAGGTTCAGGTGATCCCCCCTCGGGACCCACCACTCGCCGATCCACCACTCCCTGCTCCTCGAATGGTTCAAATAACCGAGGATGACTCAATATATCGCCACGATAGGAGCAGATGCTCCCAACGCGATACCAGCACCTGCTCCACATGTGGAGCCACCTATGGCACCACCGCCATCGACTCCCTAGGGGCTTACATAGCCACCTATGGCACCACCACCATCGACTCCCTGGGGGCTTACATCTGCCCCCAAAATATTTCGCTCGCCAAGGGCTATCGACTCCCTGGGGGCTTACATCTGCCCCCAAAATATTTCGCTCGCCAAGGGTTATCGACTCCCTGGGGGCTTACATCTGCCCCCAAAATATTTCGCTCGCCAAGGGTTATCAACTCCCCGGGGGCTTACATCGCCCCCAAAATATTTCGTTCGCCAAGGGTTATCGACTCCCTGGGGGCTTACATCTGCTCCCAAAATATTTCGTTCGCCAAGGGTTATCGACTCCCTGGGGGTTCACATCGCCCCCGAAACATTTCATTCGTCATAGCAGGAGCCAACGCTCCTCCTCGTGAGGCCCCACTGGGTCCCCAACATGATCAATTTCTACTTACTTCTCGAACGGTTCAGATAACCGAAGAAGACCTTCAGCGTATGATCACGGAAGATTCAACTCGTGCTGCCACTGAATCAGTGGCACCATATATCGCCAAGGTGGGGCATCTCACCCCAGTGGTTCGTGATCGCCTCATCCCCAAGGGGGTGCACATCCCATCTCAAGGAACGAAGATAATCTCCCCACTCAAAAAATAGAACATCCCCAAGGGGGTGCACATCCCATCTCAAGGAACGAGGATAATCTCCATACTCAAAAAATAGAACATCCCCAAGGGGGTGCACATCCCATCTCAAGGAACGAGAATAATCTCCTTACTCAAAAAATAAAACATCCCCAAGGGGGTGAATATCAACCAAATAAAAAAGAAAAAGAAAAAAGATGAAGAAGAAAGAAGAAGAAAAAAAAGAAGATGACGAAAAAATAGAAGAAGAACGAAGAAGAAAACAGGAAGAAGAAAAACCAAAAACAATAAAACTACAAAAGAGGAGGAGAAGGCGCACATGCACGGCACGCGCGCGCTGACGCGCGCCTGCGTCAAAAAAAAAAAAAACGAAGAGGCGCGCGTGCACCGCACGCGCGCCTGACGCGCGCGCGCGTCAGCGTCAGAAAAAAATAAAAAAAAAAAAAAAAAAAAAAATTATTGGAGCCCGCGCGGGCTTTTTCCAAGGAGCCCTTGGACTGCGTGCTCCCATCAAATCGCGCTCAACTTTCACCGTCCTCCACCAAATTGCGCGTAGATTTTGACTCGCTTCTCCAAATCGCTCGAGAATTTCAACACGCTCCACCACATTCCGCGAGCTCTTTAACGCACCTACTAAATACGTTCGTTATCAAATGGAAAAAAAAAAAAAAAATTATTTCTCCACGCTATGCCAACGATTAACGCAAGACAACAGCACCGATCTACTCTCAATACGATCCGGTACCCCTTTCGACTTGGCTCCCACATCGTCTCGAGAGTGGGGGGCTTGCGAGACAACTCCCACGAGGAGCCAACTCCCTACGAAACCATAGCGAGTTAACTCCCACGAGGAGACTACTCGCTCTGTCCTATAACCCGTTGCGAGGCAACTCCCACGAGGAGCCAACTCCCTCGGGTCTCAACGCCATAGCGAGATAACTCCCACGAGGAGCAAACTCGCTCGGCCCTACACACTCGTTGCGAGACAACTCCCACGAGGAGCCAACTCGCTCGGAACTACAACCCGTAGCGAGACAACTCCCATGAGGAGCTAACCCCCTCTAGTCTCAAAACTACAGCGAGACAACTCCCACGAGGAGTCCACTCGCTCAATCCTACAGCCCGTTGCGAGACAACTCCCACGAGGAGCCAACTCGCTCGGTCCTACGAACCCACAGCGAGACAACTCCTACGAGGAGACCACTCGCTCCATCCTACGACCCGCAGCGAGGAAACTCCCACGAGGAGCCAACTCGCTCGGTCCTACGAACCCACAGCGAGATAACTCCTACGAGGAGACCACTCGCTCCATCCTACGACCCGCAGCGAGGAAACTCCCACGAGGAGCCAACTCGCTCGGTCCTACGAACCCACAGCGAGATAACTCCTACGAGGAGACCACTCGCTCCATCCTACGACCCGCAGCGAGGAAACTCCCACGAGGAGCCAACTCGCTCGGTCCTACGAACCCACAACGAGATAACTCCTATGAGGAGACCACTCGCTCCATCCTACGACCCGCAGCGAGGAAACTCCCACGAGGAGCCAACTCGCTCGGTCCTACGAACCCACAGCGAGATAACTCCTACGAGGAGACCACTCGCTCCATCCTATGACCCGCAGCGAGATTACTCCCACGAGGAGCCAACTCGCTCGGTACTACAACCTACAGCGAGATAACTCCCACGAGAAGACAACTCGCTCGGTACCCCAACCCGCAGCGGGACAACTCTCACGAGGAGACAACTCACTCAGAGCAACCTCAATCCGCACGCTCCTAAATCGCGCATCATCCAATGCTCCTACAACTCACCGCGAGACAACTCCCATGAGGAGACAACTCGCCCGATATTCACTATATAATCGCAAACTCAAGTTAGCACGATTACAACCCTAGAAACACTTAGAGATATTATGAGAATCTATATAGCCTGGCCAGCTTGATTACTCAAATTTATCTACTTGTTTTCGATGGGTCATTCATTAAAACGTGGCCACGGTCCAAACATACTTAAGACCCACGAGGTCTAACTGTTGGGTTTCGGGCACGCATACGCAGCGGAAAACAAAAATTTATGCGATTTAAACGACTTTAAAACACATAAGAACATGCCCGATAAATTAAATTCAATTAATTACGTACCTTTGCGCTTCCAGCGAAAATAAAACAACATACATGCTAATAAATTTAACCGTACTTAAATCAATTAACATGCTCGCAATTTAAACCAAATAACATGCTTGCAATGATTAAAAATCGATTACACATAATCACATAAAATCATACAAATACAAGCATGAAATCATAGTTTAAACTAAACCCTAAACGAAACTAGGGTTTCGTATATTTACCTCTTGACGCGTGAGGTAGGAGCGATTAGCACTTCGTGATTACTACGGAAACCAATCCGTATAATCGGGACAGCAGCGGTGCAACGGCAGCAGCGGCGCGTGAGGTCACGGCGGCGCGTGTAGTGTACGCGCGGCTTCGGGACGGCGCGTGGGGCAGCGTGCGGCTTCGGCTCGTGCGTTGCTCCTCGACTTTTCGATCTACAATCTTCCTCCTCTCGGATTTCACCTCGTATACTTCGATCTACTAAATCGTGGCACTAGACACGAAGTAGTTAGAATAAAACGGAAGAAAAAGAAAGGAGAAAGAATACCGAATCAAGGAACGGCCGACTCCGGCGACGGTGGTGCGGTGGTGGCCGCGCGGGAGAGAGGGCGAGAGAGAGAGGGTCGGCCGCTTTAGGGTTAGGGTTTCATGTGTTTGTGTAAGGGCTATAAGTCATGTATTTATAGTCCCTTGCATATAACCCTAGCGGGCTTAAGTTGGACTGGGCCCAACAGCTTAAGCTCGTTAGTTCCTCTACTTGCTCGTATCTCTCAATTCAATGACCGAAAAATTGCAACGATTACATTTTCGGAATCATTATAACTTCCTCGTCATTACGAGTGCCATCTCTTGTTTTCCAACTTTCCAAAAGTGGAAACCCTAGTTCAGTGGACTTTCTAAATTTGGAAACTTCTCGATTTAGAAAGTTCACTAACATGTTCGCCTATTCTTTTCCTTTTCTTATTCTCATTCGTAATTCCAAATTACGAATGTTGGATTCAATCATATTGACTTCCAATCATGCAAAGATAAACTATTTTATCTCTGACCGTTTATTCAAAGATCTCATGTGCACGAGCAGTGTGACCCTCGATGGTTCAGGTGTAAGCTAGCCGTGGGCCCACAACCCATTGTGGTCAAAACTCGTCCCCTTCGAGTTACGATTAAGATGAAGCTCGTTTCACCTTAATCACCCAACGAATCAAGATTGGCGTCTAGCAACTACGCGTCATGATTCCCTAGATACAAATGAAGTGCCTGCAAGAACCTTCAGATATAGTTAACGTACAGTACGGTCCCTTCGATGCATATGTCCCGATCGAACTAGAGGCATTGGTTCATCGAGACCTCTTTATATGTTCGATGACGGTGCGATCGTTCCAAGTGTAGTAATCGTCACGTGCATGACTTAGAGAATCGAATTCTCTAATCATCACTTAGTCAGCTCTGGCCAGAGACTTAGAATGATTACAAACTTTCAGAACACACAGGACATCCAAGACTATTCTAGCGATCGAATCCCCGACTACAATGCACAGACCTCCCACTAGATTTCGGACTGCACGAACACTGGCCCTTGGGATGGTCCTCGGTGGAACTCAGGGACAGGTCACGATACAGCTGGTCCTCTAGTGAAGTCACGGTGATGTCTAGGTCATAAGGACTAATGGTGTACAACTATACCCTAGATATCTCTACTCGATTATTGGGAACCACTTAGAGATTTCTAGGGTGAGGGAGTTCTGTGAACTCGTCAACTTACGAGCACCCACTTATGCATGCCGATATCACAATACCGTTTACTGATGAGATGCAGTACACATACACTAAGTGCTAGTCTTAATGGGAAAGGCCGATATCCTCATTAGTGGCGTAACCCTTCGACTAAGAACACGTTTAACAGTTATAATACTTGAGTAAATATCTCACAATCCTAACGATCAATTACTAGTACTTGTAATAACTGTAAGGACTATATCTATGCTTGTGACAAAGGGACAGAGATATAGAATGCCAAGATGTTTTATCATTAATACGAATGAAGGTTCGTTTATTACAATAATAAATACGAAAGACCACAGCCACAAGTTGGCTTGTTGGTCACCTACTCTAACACTAACAAGTGGCACGACCCCCATAAAAAAAAAATCTTGAGAGTCTGATCCCCTCCTCAAGTACATCACGCACAAGGCTATATGTAAACACATATAAGCAACGCGTCAAAACATTGACAATGTCGAAAAATAACAACTCCCACGAGGAGAATACTAGCTCCGTGCTACTACATTATCGTGAGACAACATCCACGAGGACGTAACTCGATCAACTCGATTACCCTAGAGACAACTTCCACGAGGACGTAACTCGATCAACTCGATTACCCCATAGACAACTCCCACGAGGAGATTACTTGATCCGTGCTACTACATTATCGCGAGACAACTCCCACGAGGAGATAACTCGATCAGCACTATTACCCCGCGACAAGACAACTCCCACGAGGAGATAATTCGCTACTACATCGTCGCGGGACAAAACCGACGACTCAATTAACTTACATCGCGACGACCTTGTCGCGCTATGCGCCAACGCGCATTCACGCCCCTCTGACACACGCTCCAACGCGTTTTCGCATACCATTAGGCCATACGCCAACGATCGACTTCTACAATTTTTACTCTCGACACGATTTGAGACCCATCACAACATGGCCCCCACATCGACTCGAGAGTGGGGGGCTTAATGATATGCCTAATTGGGCCAACCCAATGGGCCTACAATTTCTTTACCTACTGGGCTACGAGCCCAATATCGAAGACTAATATCACCGAGGCCCAAACACCTTCAAGTAAGGTTTGGGCCCAACAAAGCAAACCCAACCCAATAAACGACATATAAATAGAGGTTTTACTCATTTTATTAAGGTACGTCCTATTATCTGAGCAATACTACTAATGGTATTCTCTGGACTATTTCTATGAGCACGTCTGACTTGAGGCGTCGGAAGGGGTTTCCGCCGGATCAACCCCCGGCTTAGCTTATGTGTTCTATGATCGCAGGTACCTCAGGATCATCAAGTTGTCAAGCTACTGATCTGTTTTGCTCTCCCAGTTCGTTTTCTACACCACCCCAGGTGATCTAAATACTTTTTAGCATCATCAGTATTTTTGTAATATTGTTTGTATAATTATTTAGTTGTGAATATTATATTTTGTATTTATTTTTATGTATTCCGTTGGATGTTATGTTGAGTGTTATCACATAACATCTTCGATTTAATCATTTACTAAGAACAAGCCACTGATTCTTTCATGATTGTACGTGCGTGAGTGAGTGTATGTGCGCGCGTCACTCTGTGTGGTGTGTGTGTGCGACTCGGGAGAGTTTTGGTAATGGCAACGATTTGTCCAAGGGTTTTTTTGCAAATTGCCCAAAAGACAAAACACCACACACTATGTTGAATAACTATTAACTTCACCAAAATTGACTAGGAGGGGGCTAGAAAAGTAATAAAACTAACTTCCATTTAATAAGAAAAAGCAAGTAGTAGAATACATTCTTCGATCAATAGCCAATAATTCCCTGACAAATGGCTAATTAATTTAGCTACATGCTTAATTAAATCCAAAGCTAGCTACTCATAAACAACAACAATAATAACAACCTAATCAAATTACATACATACAACTACCTTATGAGAGCAAATCTTATTTAATATTACATATAAATAAGCTATATATATGTTGAATGTTGAAACTGCATGCACCGACCATTTAGGGTTTCAAGACATGGCATGCAGATAAGGGCGGAGCAGAGGAATGAGGGAACCGCTGAGGTGGAGGGACATGACCTCATTGGTGGAGCCGACGAGTTTGCCGCCGATGAATACAGCCGGGACAGGGCCGCCGGACCCCATCCTCAAGAGTGCCTTCTCGATTTCCTTACCATCGGGATCGTGGTCTATTTCGTGGACAAATGGATGAACACCGAGCTCGTTGAACAGTATCTGAACCGCGTAGCACAGACAGCACGTGCTCTTGCTGAATATCATTATCCCGTTTTCCGATGCCAGTTTTACTATCTTCTCCATATTTTATTTTCTTAAGATTGTTGTTAACAAGAACCAGATTAATTATTTACCACAAATTTAATTTTTTTCAAAAATTTGTGGGATGAATTAATCTGATTGTGTTGTTGTAATGTGAAGAGGCAAGAAAAGCTTGCCTGAAATTGAGGTGTTTTTCGGGGCTATTTATAAATAGAAAAAAAAAAAACAGGGGAAAACAGAGTGGCCTGCTTTTCTCGAACAAGAACATTTAAAAGGAAGTTGGCTTTTTTTGCACTAATTGGATGCTCAAAAAAACAGAGGTAAAAGGCACTTTACAAACAAAAGATACTAATATATTTTTATTCATGCAAGTTGAATATAAATATTAAAAAAAAAAAAAAAAAAAAAAAAAAAACGTCCCGCAACTTTTGAATAGATTCTGTGGAAATGGCGAACATTTTATTTTTGACCGTCGTCTCGTGTGTATATATATATATATATATATATATATATATATATATATATATATATGTATATAAGAGAATCGTGCATGTATGAATAGAAGATTATGAAAGAGATATTGGGGCAGATTCTTGTGAAAAGGATGGATTTTTATTCTGTACAGGAAGAAAGATCACGAATAAAAAGGCTTTCGGTGCTGAATCTTTGTGTTTGTGCCCACCAACTTGGGCATATGCAGAGTAGTACTACTCTTTGCATGTATTATACTAATATGTATCTGTATATATAGTCTATATATCTACGGTATATATATGTAGCTGTTCAGCAACAAAAAATAATTTATATATGAGAATTTATTTAGGCATGATTCCCATTTTCCAAGTTGTGATATTTTAGTGTTCGTTTTTACTGTGGAAAATTTGAAGCAAGTTCCATAGTTCTTGGATGTGAAGGAATTTTGTGGGGGCACTGCATGTAGTTTTCGCCTAGTTGCACGTTATATTATTTCATTCGAAAATCATAATTTTTAGTTGTTTGAATTTTTATTTAGTTTCATTAGTAAAATACAAAGGAAATAATAAAGGACAAGTATAAGAGGATCTAGCTAGAGAACAAGTTGGTGTTTCATTTTGATGAAATGAGTTGACAACAAAAAGTATAATCAACCCCATAAAGAGTGACAAACAAGTTTTGTACGAATATGTTTGTCTCAATTTGATGTTATTTTTGCAGTTGTAATTGGGGACACTTGTGAGTTTCACAGCTTCATATCCACTAGTAGTTTCTAAGAACAAATTAATGTAAGTAGGAAAAAAAAAAAAAAAGAAGAAGAAGCTAGTAAGCTTTTGAACAACTATAATTGGGTTCCAGCTCGTTCGAAACTCGTGAGCTCGAGCTAGTCCGAAACTCGTGAGCTTGAACTCGAGCTCGAGCTCGAGCTTTTGTTGAATTAACTCGTTGAATTCACGAGCCGACTCACCTCGTTTACTGCGTCCCTAAAATTAATGAAATGGATTCAACCAATTTTAATTAGTGGACTATAGTAACTGAAAATTCGTTCTCCCGAATACCCTTGGAAAAATGGAGGCCCATAACTTAGTGAAAACGGCAGTATGAATAAGGCCCAAATTGGATGTAATTGAGAAAAAAATAACCACAAATAAAATTACCAAATCACCCTCTAATTTTCGTATTAAAATTAATTGATAATACACATTTCTTTTATTTACATTTATAATTTAAAATACTATTGCTACATACCTGGAAAAAAAATGGCTAGTTCATGATTATATTTTATTTTTAAAGTTAATTTTTAAAATTTCGTGAAACAAAATTCAGAATTTTCAAAATGTCAAATGAAATATTATTTCAATATTGAAACTTTTGGGTTCGTAGTCGGTGAAAATCGAAAAATTATTTTTCTTTGGGTTGTGTGTGAGTGAATAAACAATATTTTTGTGTATTAATTACTATTTTTATAATTATAATTATTAATTATAATTAATAAATAATAAACGGGTAAATGTTTTGAAAACTCATCGTATAAAAGGAGAAAACCCTAGAGCTTCAGATTTTGCCATCCGCCTCTTAGCACAGAACTTCTTCCCCGTCGAACTCTCTCTTCGATTTACAGACCAGCATCCAGAATCAACGATGGTAGAATTTTGCTGCTAATGTCAAATTTGTCCGTGTTTTACTGTAATCCGATGTACAATTTCATTTGACCTAATTCACGATGTTTGTAAACAGGTTCTTTCAAACGATTACGATTTGCTCAACCCACCCGCAGAGCTCGAGAAGAGGAAGCACAAGCTCAAGCGCCTCGTCCAATCCCCAAACTCTTTCTTCATGGTATTTTTTTTTCTTTTTTTTATTGCATTCTTCATGTTATTTTTTGTCACTGATTCATGTTTATCCGATGTGTTTCTATTTGCAGGATGTCAAGTGTCAGGGTTGCTTCAACATGTAAGGTTTTTTTAGCTTTTGCATTTATAATTTTTCAAATCCCCAATTATCTGATTTTTAGGGCAACTGAAATAAAAATCAAGTCTTTTTTTTTTTTTTTCCTAACTGTTGATTATGACTATGTGTTTGTTTGTGCGTGTACAGAACCACCGTGTTCAGCCATTCACAGACTGTGGTGGTGTGCGGCAACTGCCAGACTGTCCTTTGCCAGCCGACCGGTGGACGCGCTCGACTCACCGAGGGTTGCTCCTTCAGAAGAAAGGGTGATTAATTTACTTTATAATAATTATCTATTTTACGACTCAGTGAATGTTGATTTCCTCAGTAAGATTATCGGACAAAGATTTTGTTTTGTTTTTGGGGTTGAATGTTTGTCTCGTTTTTATTTCCAGTCCTCCGTTAAGGTTTATCGACATTTTCCAGGTTATTTAACGAGATATGGGAATGGATCTTATTTAAAATCTCTTCTTTATTGTTAGCTAACAGTTTGTTTTATGTGTATTTGAATTGATTTTTGCTGTGGTGATTGAATATTTCTTTCTGCTGAAGTTCTCTTTGCATACTTATTTATCGCCAATAGGAATATGAAAATCTCGGATGACGATGTTTTGTCAAACCTGCCGTAGTTGCGAAATTCGTTTTTAGTACGAGTTGGGATGCTGACATTGTGCATAAGATTCTGTTTTCTTAATCGATATCTTTTAGATGATGCACTACCGATGAAAAGCCGAACCACATTATTTCGGTATTTCTTCTTTCTCGTAGCATTTGTGATTTCCATCTGCCATGTAGGCAAATTTCGGAGTTCTGTTTTCGTGAAGGATATTTGATATCAAATACAGGGATTACGCGAAAATTGTCTACTATTTTGTTTTAAATTGGTTGCGTTTGAGGTTAATATTTGATAGTTTTGGTACTTTTGACTGCAAATTAAATATAGATTATCTGACAATAGGATTGTAGTGTTTAATCTCGACCAGTCTGTTATTGCTCGTTAGAAAATTAATTAGACATTGGCCTTAATCCTGTTTTCATAACACTTAACAAACGTTTTATAGATACTTATACCAAGATTAATTTCTCAATATATAAATTTATGACGGGTCGAAGTAACTCTGCCTATGTGCTGCCTATATAGGTGAAATCCTATGCATTATTTGTTGTGTGTTTTATGATCGATAGAAACGATGCTTGTGGACTGCTTGATGGCGACGAAGTTAACATTTTTTAAGTAAAAAATATCAAATTAATTATTTTGTATTGTTGTAAAGATTGTTTTATGGTTCTTCACCTTCTTTTTCCAGTACTGGATGGATGAAAATCAAATGTAATGTTCATGTTTATTAATGTGACATTTGTGGCTTGTGCATGACACTTGTGCACCCAAAATTGAACTACTATTAACTAAAGGATAATTATAAATTTAAGTTTTCTGTAATCTCTAACTTCTTTATATTAAATAATTATTGAAGATGACCATTATAAAAGAATAGAAACGTCCGTAACATAATTTACCAACAAACATGGCACATATTTCTTGCTCAATCTTCTTTGTATTATTCTCGATTTTCGTTGTTCCTATATTGCCAATGGAGCAGAATTTTCCGGTGACGATGTAAAAATTTGGCCGATTTGGGATCCGAAAGGCCCAAAAGTGGTATCTGTTGCAAAATTGATAGTGTCGAATCATAATAAGAAGGCTAATACAAATCTAAGCTTTGTAAATGTGGTCAAGGGAAATTATGCTGCAATTAGTGGGGTGAAACACAAATATCATCTACATCTACTCATCTCAGCTAAAAATGGCAGCCATGGCCATCCAGAAACCTATGACACATCTGCACTATACACACCGCAGTTGAAAAGGAATTCCATCAAAATTTATATCTTCAAAAAATATAAAGGTTAGTGTTGATTTATTCCTTTTAAAATGATTAATCATATTTTTATCGATTTTTTGAACGTTTGTATTCGAAATGAATTAAGCAGATAATCAGTTTGGTACACAGCCAATTGAGGACCTGAAAGATCCGAAAGTGATGTCTGCTGCAAGATTCGCAGTGGCAACGTATAATACGAACATGAAAACGAGCTTACGATTGGTGGATATATAGTACAAGGAAGGCGACTTATGGTTGTAGGTGTGCTATACTATCTAATTCTCTCGGCTAAAGAGAACAACACGAGTAATCCCGTAAACTATGAAGCTGTTGTTTGGGAAAGATTGTGGTTGGATAAGGATGCTTTAATAGTCAAAGCCTTCAGAAAACCATCAAAATTAAATTGGAATTAAGATAAATAAATATTAGTATTTTTCGACCTTTATTCGGTAACATGAGTTTGTAGAAGTTTACGACTTTTGGTAATTATGATCGAATGTTACATTGTTTTAATACAACCATTTCAAATTTCTCTCTTTAGTGTCAATAAAAGTGACAATATTATGATTGTAGAATAAAAAGGCAAGCTTTAATTACAATGATTTGAAAAAAAAAACATCCTTGGATGCAGAGGTAATTAATTAAAGTTCATCCTTGGATGAAGAATATTTTTTGTATATGATGGGATACGATGCCGACATTGCGATACCGCACATTATTAATAATACTATCACCGTACAATATATTAAAATGTCCTGTCTCGTTCACGAGGAACATATCGTCGTCATCATCATATTGGTCGTCGTTCAGTACCACATGATCGGAGGATGACGTATCGTCGTTGTCTGCGAATTGGTTGATTTTCAACGTGAAGGAAGAATCCTTCTTTTTGTTGAAATTGTTTATGTAGACTACGTTTTCCGTAAATATGGGGAAACGAGTCTCAATCTCTTCCTCGGTCCTCGAAACAGAGTATTCGGACAACCATCTCTTGCACACATTCAATAAACCTATTTAATATATATACAACCCAAAAAAAAAAAAAAAACACACACACTTACACAAACACAGAGAGATTAGGCAAAAATACTTAGTCGAAGTAATGTGCACGAGATTTTCACGTATAATCACGTAATATGCACGAGATTTTCACGTATAATCACGTAATATGCACGAGATTTGCACGTGAATTTAGTCGAAGTAAATTTATTGAATTATCCTATTTTTATCAGCTCTTATTTTCTCGTTACCATTTTATTTTAATAAGAGAAAGAAGAACATATGTACGAATTCGCACGTATAATCACGTAATATGCACGAGATTTGCACGTGAATTTAGTCGAGGTAAATTTATTGAATTATCCCATTTTTATCGGCTCTTATTTTCTTGTTAACATTTTATTCTAATAAGAGAAAGAAGAACGTATAAAAATATGTTGACAAACGTGTGTATGATAGAAAAAAAACGACTTAATTTTCATCCATATAAATTTGAATGTGCAATATTTAGGTTAAAATTTAAAACACATAAGCTTCTGTGAGTTTTTAAGGCATAAGAAAATTTAATACAGCAAAGCTTTGATTAAGTCAGATTTCTTCAGTAAAGCAAAAGTCACCAAAAAGTGGACTTTAAGCCCATGGTTACAAAAGTTCGACAGAAAACCAGAGAAGCCATTAAACTAAAACTCGCGAGCTTCACTGGTATATATATATAGATCATGCTACTGAAGATTTTTTTTCTTTTCTTTTCACTGTTAATAAAAAAAACTAGAACCAAATAGCCTTAGCATTAATGAGCCTCTGCTTTAGTGAACCATCAACATGAAGGGATATAACATCCGTGGCAGAGCCGATGAATTCTCCACCGATGAAAACAGCTGGCAGCGTAGGATTGCAGCCCATAATACCTCTCAAAGCCCACTCCATTTCTTTTCCCCTCGTTTCTTGATCCAGCTCGTGCACAGCTGGACTCGCCCCTAAATCGTAGAACAATGCCTTTATGCTGTGGCACATGCAGCACGTGCTTTTCGTGAATATCACTGCAGCTTTCTTCGATGCCAACTCTCTTACTCTCTCCATATATATATATATTTAGAAAATTGGGGACTTGCTTTGATAAAATCGGGATTTTTTTAGATATGTGTTGTTTTGTTGTTGTTGTTGTTGTTGTTATTGTGTGTTTTCTTTCTTTGAGATATTATGGTTGTTATTTATAGAGGGCAGTTGACAGTTGTGGATAAGGTGACGATTTCTTGAATACGACCCTTTTTTTGTGATGCAAAAACATACAAGTTGACTCTATGAATCACATTGTAATATAGAGATTCCGTGTAATCGAGAACAGTTTGTTATTGAAGCTGCAAATGGTGGGAAGTAACATTTGCAGGTGTGCAAGGGGCAATATGCAACTTTGGGATATATTCCTTTTAGTGTTGTGGGGAGAGAAAAATATCCTCCACGATATTAACTTTCGCAGACGAAAAATAAATAAATAATACTATTATTATTATCATTATGCAAATGGATGCTGCTACTACTGCTAGAAATGTACAAGAATCTGGTAAGATTTTGTGTGGTTTTAGGACAAGATTAAAGGATATGATGATGATTTGATTTGGTAATAAATATTCTCCAAATTGGATTTTGCAATGTCAAATTGTTATCAGAAATGATGTGTATTTGTTCTTCTTCTTCTTACTTGTTAGGTAGATTGAATATTTGTCATGTTCTTTATTCTTCATTCTTGCTGTGGTTTCTGTTGTGGGATCCTTAGCTGATGTGTAAAAACTAACTCAGGATAAGAACTTATCTATTACATTCCCACTTTCGAATCTCAACCCCCCACAAATAAATAAATAAATTTGACAAAAAATAGTAATAATAAATAAAGAAAAACAAATTCTTGCAGGAAAAAGATTACAGAAACAACTTGCATTAGTGCAATATAATTTCCTGTCTACAAGTACTTAATTATCCACCACTAACCCAATTTTCAGAGGCCAAAGAATGAAATTTCTCCACATGTCATAATCATCATCATAAAATTCCAGTGTATTTACAATATTGTTCAAGGGTTGGATCAAATACATGATGTAATAATTTTATTTTTTTATGGACTAGATTTAATATCTGAAAAATACTAAGCCACACAGAGTAAGATGAGGTTCTAAAATCCCCCAAAAGGAAAAATCAGACAAGCAACTCCCAAAACCCCATGGCTGCTGCTTCAGCACCCACAGCAACTTCATCTTCTTCATTCTCACTTCCACTGAGAACCCAATCCATCAAACCAAACCCTCATCTTACAAAACAGAGGATAACAAGAATTAACCACTTATGGGTTCGGGCCGTACAAGGCGGTTCAACGGGCCGACAGCCAGCCTCACCCGGATTCGACACAAGAATCCATTGGGAGAATGACGATGAAGGATGGATAGGAGGAAAAACCTCACAAGAAAAGGTCAAAGACGAATCAGATTTCACGGGCGATAAATTCTCCGATTTGCTCAACAGTTCATCCGATTCTCATTACCAGTACTAAACTTACCTCAATCTTGTCAATTGGATGCGTGTTTTCTTTTTTCTTTTTTTCGATAATATTTGTTAATGGTCTGTATCAGGTTTCTAGGAGTATCTTCGAATGCTGATCTCGAAGAGATTAAATCCGCCTACAGAAGATTGTCGAAGGAATATCATCCAGACACAACTACACTTCCTCTGAGAGCTGCATCGGAAAAATTCATGAAATTAAGAGAGATTTACGATGTGTTAAGCGACGAAGAAACACGGAGGTTTTACGACTGGACTTTGGCTCAGGAGACAGCAAGTAGAGAAGCTGAGAAGATGAGGATAAGGCTGGAAGATCCTTACATGAAAGAAGTCGAGAGTTACGTACCGGTCGGAGATATGGTGGACCGCCTCGGTGGGCGGAACATGGAGCTCAATGATCAGGCAAAGCAAGCCCTCACTTTCGATATCTTGATCATTATATTCTCCATATGTTGTATAATATACGTTGTCTTCTTCAAAGAACAGTATTAGTCGCACTTCATTACGTATAAAGATACACACAAATATATGAACTCCGTATATATATTCCACTTTGTCTTTCATGTCTCAACAACAAACGAGTTCAAGAAACGAACTTCTACGAACAAAAAATACAAAATTATAGATGTTTAGGAGTATGTAATAAGATCAGACAAAGCACATCAATTCTCTATGAAATCTTTCAAGAAAGGGCTATTCTTTTCGACGTAAGCAGTCCTTCGCCAATTCTCTACTGCTCTTTTTACAGTAGCTTTTGCCGTTTTTATCTCATCGGCGGTGAACTTGTGTTCCACTATTCCCAAAGGTCCAGGTTGAAGTACCTTAACCACGGTTTCCATGTCATGCTCTAGCTGCCTGCGAAAACAAGAATAAATCCAAACCCAAATGTAATCAACAGATTTGAGATTCTAATATGTGAATGGAATATAACATTCTGTAACCATAAACATTTTCCAATCGTTTCATCGAAATGGAAATCCCAAAAGCCCTAAACGTACGATTTACAAATAACGATTCATGAAACTCAAGATATAATCCCAAATTCATAAGAAAAAACGTGTTACTTGAATACCCAATCAATAAATTTCACCATAACAACAACCATCAAACGATTAAATCAGAATAATTGGCGGATTAAAGGAACAATCCACAAAACCAAACCATAAATTACGAAACAGTAGTTGAGCTCAATAAACCCGGAGTGTATACAGAAAATCATAGTGGCAAACAAGAAATTACGTGAATCGAGAGAAGACAAACCTGAAGAATCTCGAAAATGGAAGCCTTGATAGAGAGTACGCCATGTTCATAAGCGCAGATGGTTTTTTTTGTGCTGATGTTTCACTTCGTTTTGTTATTTTCTCTCTCTAGCGTCTTTTGATAGAAAGCGCTGTTTGAGAGAGAAAATAATCATAAGTCGCTGTGATAAAGAGAGCCACTTATTAATATTTAGGGTAAATTACACACACCCCCCTGAAGTAAGCTTAAATAACTGTAAGGTCCCTGTGGTATCGATAAATTACACTTAACC